CCTATTTAATAGTACGCCTATTTAATATGAACAATATCGGACTAACATCGACATACATATATACATATTCGCAATAACATATCGCTCGTTTAACAGGACAAGACAAAAACATCAACGATCAATTACTCATGCATGTTAATTGATTCACGTTGATATTTATCGTGTAATTCAAATAAAAATATATACTTTTATCGAAATGAATATCGCTAGATATTTAGATTTAGTTTACAAAAACATTGATGAACCATCAATTAAATTATCAATTTTTCGTTGTCCATCTTGCACGTATATCATTATTAATTCGTTATCATCCCTTGATCGACAACGGGAGAAAGAAATTACGTGTAAATTAATTTTAATTAGATATTTAATCATTTCTTTCTGTGTAAAACATCAAAAAAAAAAAAAAAAAAAAAATGATCGATCGATTCGAATCACGCAACAAGTGATCTTAAAGAAAAGTATTCACTTGTTTCTTTTGTGCGTTTTTTATCATCAAATGATACGATACGATACGATACACCGTGATTTTTTACAGGTATCGTTGATCGGGTATCAAAATAGAGAATAAGTCCTATCGATACACAAGTTGGTAAAGTATAGATGTTTACGGAAATAAGCAAATAACGGATGATGAAACGTTTTCTGTTCAAATAAGTAGGTTCACCTGTACATATATCGTAGATATTATTTCTTTGATGTGACGGCAGAAAAAAATCGACGAATAGATGTTTTTCGTGTCAAATTTTGGACACACATTGTTATATTACAATAGTATTATAATAGAATTTTATTTAATCTCTGAAGATATCATGAAGATTTATTAAAATTTTAAATAATTATTTTTGTAAATTCTAAATAATGTATTGTCTGTACTATATTCTTATGTTCTTGTACAATAAATTATTAACATAATTATTAATATAATGATAGAAAATGGATAAAAAATAAATAATCATATAAAAAATTTATCAAAATGTTTAATGTCATAATCCTACTGTCATAAACATGAGAATAACGTAGATAAAGAAAAAATATATGTATAATAAAACAAACTATATATTAAAAATCTCACGGAGAAGAAAAACTAAAAAGTTTCCTTATTAATATTTCCTTATCAAAAATTAAAAAAAAAAAAAAAGTAAAAAAAATTATAGATCGAAACAAATCATTAAGTGAATCATAAATCATATAGAAATTATGACATATTATGATATAATTTTTATTATAAATGTTTCAATTATGATATAACTAATATTAAAGATAAATATTGGAAAGATATAAAAGATAAAAGATATATATATATTTAAAATATATTATATATTATATATATATACATATAAAACATTTTTAAATCTATTAATGCATACATTATTAATTTCTAAACTTTTTCTAAATTTTATTTTGACGTAACTTTTGTCTATAAGTGTACATTAAGAGACTTTACTACTATTAAAGAACACTCAGAATAGATAACTTAACATATTCGCGTGTAAATCACGTCACAAATACTGTGATTTTAACTATTGGTCAGTGAACGTTAATCAACTAACATAAGTATGATACGATGTTCAAGAACGAATGTACATCGCTGTCATTTAATTGCATTTTTATGAAAATGTATTGTACTCGTCAATTTTTATCTGAAAAATTATTTTTTCAGATAAAAATTATTTTTTTTTAGATTTACATTTATATCAATACGAATAATTTTGCATTATAATAAGTAAATAAATATTTAGAATAATTTCTATTCTATAACGTAATATCGATCGAAATATTAGACTGGCAAAAGTACGAAAAATTGGAAAAATATTATAAAAATTCGAAAAATTATATTATAAATAAAAAAAAAAAGAATGAAAGAAGCCATCAAAGCGATGTAATTAATTCTTTCATTAATATTTTATTTTTAAATAAAAATTTAAAATTTATTTAAAAGCGTGATTGACTCAAATGCGTTGCAAAAATTGGAAAAAATAAAATATAGAAACTGATTGAAAAAAATAGTAAGAATAATAAGATTTGAAAGTTTTTATAGTGGCAAAAGGCAATGAATATCGACGTGATAAAGTAGTAATCTGTTAAATTGATTAATTGAAAGAAAATATAATTAATATGATTAATACGAATAAATGACGTAAAATTGAAATCTGCTTACGAAATTCATATTTATAAGAGATATATTACAAATATGTTTGCTATTTATCTGATTTCTCTTTTGCTCCACATATATGTATATGTAGAGTAAAAAGCAAGCACGTGCTAGTACAGCTCGAGATGCAGCGCAATAGAGAAAACATAAGTAGATGCGGCAAGATGCCAATTATAAATGTACGACAAAAAGAAAGGAGGATTATTTGGAAATAATAAAGTAATAAATATATTTTAATTAAATGATACAGTAATTCTTTTTACTAATGATAAATCCTTAAAAAATTGCATGTAAAATTTATGTGTTTCAATTGGATATGTACAATTTTTCCTTTAATTTTTAACGAAACGAGGACGCATCTGGCATCTTTCGTTTCTTTTTTTACGAAGTCGACCAGAAACGCGTTTATATTCGCGTATTTCCACACAATTATTTTTGCAATCGAGGCCGTTGTACGAGAATTCACAGGAAATTTTGATGATGCAGTGCCATACGATAAAAAGAGCGATCAGATGCATATGCTTACTAAGATATTTATAATTCATGATCAAAAATCAAATTCACGGATCGAAGAAAACTGAACTGAACTGAACTGAACTGTTTAAGATATGATTAATTACTCTGTATTTGTAATGGATGAAAAATATTTCAACGAAACAAAGAGTTCCAATTCGACTGGAATTCGAATCTGTGATATTTTCATCGTAATGTCACTGACCAATCGCTTTAATTAAACGGTGTCTTTTATATTGATCAATATCTTATTCAACTTTTTTTATATGCATTTTAAAAACAGTACCATTATTATAAATATCGATAATTTTGTTTTGAACGTATTAATTTTTGTTTCTTCTTAATTAATTGATTAATGAAATATGCAATATAATACAATATACTATTAATGCAATATAATATTAAATTTTTGACAATATTATTTTGAAAAATAATAAAATAATATGCAACCTATTCTAAAATTTTTTATAATATATAGTAGGTTCTATATAAAATTTTCATTTTCTATATTAAATTTTCATTAGTTAATAATATTCTTTTTAAGCAGATTATATAACACTGAATAATAATATGCAAATGATATGATATATAGTGAATTAATCAAATCGCTTGAGACGCTTAAAATGATATTTAAAAGCAAAATAGTGTCAGAAAAAAGTCTGAATATGACACAATGTGATTTTATATTATACCATATTCGTGTACTTCAGTAAGGAATATTTAATTTATTTATGTAATTCGTAAATATAATTCACATCATTTTCATTTCTATCCATATAATATTTATTCTTTTATACTGTGCTAAACCTTTTAGATTTCTTAGTTTTCAAATCATTGTTCTTATGATATACATATCAATTTTGCTTACATATTTATATAAACTATATAAATGTTATAAAATATCCTAAAAACATCTATTGCGTCTAAATACACAATTAAAACATAGAAACACAATTGATTAACCTAGTTAACTGATATGGGTAACCTGGATATCCAAGGATATCTAAGAAAACGGTATAAATGCTACTTATGTAGAATTGATAAAAAGATCGTAAAATATATCACTACCTGTACATATAACGAAAATAAACTCGCTTAATTTCTACATTTTAAACATATTTAGTACTAACGATATATATATATTTAAAGAATTTACCAATATCAAACATAAGATTATAAAATATTCTAAGTATCAAATTTTGTTTTATTCGCTTAAAATTTAAAATATTTTCCTGGTTTCATAAATCATATCTATTTCAATTCATTAGAAATATAATGCAATGTAAAATATTATCAACTTATTATTATTAAAATATCAAAGAATCAAACAATTTCAACTGAATATAACTTGTGAATAGTTTTTTTTAAAAAAATAGAAATTTTATTTCTATTTCTATGTATATTTCTAAAAAAAAAAAAAATTATATTAGTGTTTTTGAAAATGTTTAGTTGCTTTAGTTAAATTAAAAAAAGAAAAAGTACTTGATTGATCCAAAAAATATTTTATATACGTTAAGAAAAAATTATATATATTTATAATAATTACGAATAGAAATTATCATAATAAATGAATGTTTTTTTATTTTAAAATAAAAAATAAATTAAAGATATTGTTTTGTAAATATCGAATTCTAATATCTAATATTTATAATGCAGAAAGAAATATTAAATTTTAGTTGATATGATTAAAAATGATGAAAAATTTTTAATCACGAGGATTCAAGGAAATATTCGTGATAATGTATTTATTTTTGACAATAGGTTTATTGATGCGATATGATGATATTTTTTAAATCAAATTTTGTTTTTTTTATTATTTATTATTATGATAAAAAATATTATCATATTATCAACGAAAAATAATTTTTATACATAAAAGGATAAACAATAGATTAAATATTTTTATTATATTGAATATAATTTATATATTTTGAAAGTGTCACAGTTTTTTAATAATTCTTATTTGTATTTCATATCTAATATTCAATATTTAAAAGAAAATTAAGAATTTTCACATCAAATTACAATATTTTGATATTAAAATTATGTTATAAAGAAAAAAAATGTAATACATATAATATATTGTATATTTGTATATGTTGTATATTTATCTATATCTATAGATTTATTTTTTTAATTTTAAAATTTTAAATATAATTATACGCTAAAATATTATTGATAATATATATGTGAAAATTATTTAATAATATTTATACTTATATTTTTTAACATATAAATTAAACGTAATATTAAAAACAAGAATAAGCCAATGATTAAATTAAAGTTAATGTACAAAATTTAACGGACATAAAAAAGCATAAGAAAAAAATACCTCTTGAGTAAGTTCTGCCGTATTAGTTGGTTCGTCTGGATTTTGCGAAGAATTTGATGAATCAGGTGATGTCATATTCCTAGTTGGGTCTGTGGAAAGTGATATACTAGGTCCTGCTATAGCGATATCTCTTGTAGATTCTTCAACATTTAACAAATATGCATGGATATCATTTAAACCAGAATTTATTCTATTATATCTTCCTAATGAATTCAAGTCTTCGAATAAATCTCTCTCATAATTTAAAAGCATAGAATCTAAGTTTTTAGGATGAACAAAGATAGGACGATGAACTATTGTATGAACATCAGTATGCCATCTTGAACCATTATTTAGATCTAAAGAACCTACACCTATGGTTTGAATATCCAAACCAAGGTAGGATTCAGGATCTATTCTTAATAAAGAAAGTAGCAATGTTAATTGGAATAGTTCCTCATGATACAATTTCTTTATACACAACATTATGCTCTTTTTGTTTTAATCACTTTCAATCGACAAATTTATTTACAAATCAAATTAATTTAGTTTATTATCACTGTGATTTGATATGTTCAATTCGTGGAATAAATAAGATTTTAAGAGACAAATGTTCATATTGAATTATTATTTTGTCGATGCTTTAAATCAGTCCAAATATATTCAATAACATTTCCACAACTGTTCATGTTTTAACATATCAAATATAAATAATGTTATATGCACGATTTTATAGAAGACAAATTCAAAACAGAGTTTTTAATTATTACTAGAGTTATCGAACATCACTTTTTAAACTTGTTTCTTTCTTTCTATATAAATGATATAAAATTTAAATTAAGTAGTTAAAAAAGATATTTTTTTATATTCTTGCTGGAGCAACTTATTCGACAGACTGTCAGAATGAAAATAAAGATTTGGATCTCTTTAAACAAGTATAGGTCAGTTACACGAACACAAAAATAACCTCAAAACACACACTACAACGTCAAACTTCAGTACACGTCGCGCACATCCTACGCATGCCTTGGATTTTGTTTGACAATTCAAGGCGATATTTTTTTTATCAATATTAACACTTTCTTTACACTGACACGTCACGGCAGTTAGAGTAAAAAATAAAAATTTAATTTAATAGTAGAAACTGACAGATCTATGAACAATACCGAATTTAAAATTATTTTAAATTTTAATTTTTATTAAATATTCGAGGCCTGCGACAAGCGCCAAGTACCTCCTTTCTTAAATCATGTTGCTTTGATGATATTGTAATTCTAACAATGATAACGTTATACTAATGCAATACAATGCATTTCACAGAGAAAAGAACTAGCACACCTTCCTGGGAGAGATCGTTCGCGATATGTGACTCAGCATTCACTCCGGCAACGTCGTTTCTCAGGGCTGCATAAAGTGCATGATTCTCCCTAATCAAAAATAATAGACAACTAATGCTTTTTATTTTTAAATTCATTTAATTATAATAAAAGAAATAATTATTTCTAATATATTAATTTTTTTATTCTTATTTATATGAAATGAATCGTCATTTGTTCAATATAGATATTTATAAATTTTAAAACAATATATAAAAATAATAATTTATATACGCACAACAAAAGAAAAATGTATTTCTACATTTTAATTTAATTAACTGTAATAATTAAATTAAAATTAAAAGAAATATAAATACAATATATATAATATACATATGTATATATAGATATTTAGATTTTTTAAACGCATTGTTAATACTGTATCAATATAAAATGTTTATCCATTTATATAACAGTACATATATTATATTCTAATTCATTGTATTTTCACTAGATTTTTAATGATGTAGAAGTTTATACTGATTGCGTAATGATTTATATTTATATTTATACAAACTCATTAATTTTTTTATTATTATTTTTATTCCACCGAAATGCGTAGAATTTATAGATAAGATAATTTTTTTTTCTTGTTTCATGATTAAAAATATTGAATTTTTTATATATATATGTGTGTGTACATATAATTATTTTTTATCAATTAAGTTTATTTTTATTTGATTATAATATAATTTTATATTTTATCAATATATAATTAAAAATCGTTTAAATTGCAAATTAAATTTAGAAATAAAATGATTTTTCTCTTGATAATTCGATCAATCATGTAAAATTTTCTTTATAAATAATATTTCTTAATAATAAACATATAAAATATAAAGAAAATTTGTTTATATAGTCACACAATTTTTAGCACTTCATACATACTAATATTTAAAATTTGTTAAAAATAAAGAACAAAAAAAAGATAAATTAATGTATATAAGTACATGCAACTCTACAATCACTATGAAATCAAACTAAAATAAAGGAACTTCATTTACGATTATGTTGGTACACTGTGCGTAGTTGCCATATTCAAACTATTAATACAAGTAAGTATATGAGTAATCAAGTAAATACGTGACATGTATAAAACAATTATATATATATATACGAGAAAATGAATATATATGTATACATATATATAATTTTTTTTTATATATATATGAAACACTATATATATATGTATTATATATATATATATATATATATATTTATTGTATATCACAAATAAAAATATTAAAAATATTTATATATTATCTACCTGATTCATGAACTGCGTTGATTTCAAATCCATCACATCGTTGCCGGGTGACAATGATGTCATACATGGTAAATCCTCTATTTGAAGCATCTTGAAGTCTCTATTAAACTTTTAATTTTAAAATATATATTACTTTGAGAGGAATCACTTAAATATTGATCAATATTAAATACTCATTACTGAAAATTATTAGAATAGAAACTGAATTATTGGGATGAAAATGAAACACATTACGTCACTTAATTTCGAAAAGCACACGCATTTTAATAAATCATTCATTGAAAGTAAAATGAACTTTCAAATCTTTTATCACATTTTACTTAAAACTCAATGACAAATATTCTTAACAAGATTTTCCTTCGCGTAATGATGCAATTATGGGATCGACGCAAAAGCAACCGTCTGTCGTTCCAGTATGAGATAATTGGAATTTTTCTTGAACTACGTCACTATGAGCTAGAACCGCGCTATTTGAACATGGCGCGAATAATGAATATATATACAAGTTCTGTTATATCGACGTTTCCGATATGCTGACACAAACACAATCACAGAATAAACTTAATATTCAAACGTATTTTTTTGATCTTCTATCTCGAGGGCAATTTCTTTACCATTGTAGCGTTATTCTTAAGTATCGATTCGATTTAGAATAATTAATAATATCTTAATATTAAAACTAACATTTGAAATTGAAAATAAATTTTGATATAAAATTGCAAATAAAAAAAATAGAATAAATATTTCATTATGAAATATTTTGCAGACATATATGAAGTATATGAAATATTTTATATTTATAAAAACTATTGTGAAACAAATAATTAGGATAATGATAATTCTACACTATTATATGTACTTTTTTTTTCAATTATAAAAAATTGCTTTTATCAAAAAAGGATTAGAAATAAATTTTTATTTTGATAAGAAATTAAAAAAAATTTTTTAATTTCATTATTTTTATTTTTTTATTTTATTAAATTTTTATTTCTTGTCATAATAACTCTATTATAACTAATTTTAAAACATTTTCGTCATATATCAGAGTATACTATGAGATTATTATTGTAGAAATATATTGAAAAGCTAAGAATGCAATATTTATACGTAACATTTATTTTCTAAAAATTATAACATATAATATAATTTTGAAAGAGAAATCTCGCTGTGTATTATCGTCTGTAGAATAGTGGGAGAAAGATAGAGATAGGATAAAAATATCGAAATCAGCGCCATCTTTAAAGTGCCGCAAATAAAACACAAAAAGAAAGGATGAAAAATAGTGGGAGAAGAATAGAGATAAAATAAGAATTGAGAATCATCTCTTGAATAATTTCGACGTTCGATAGATGGCGTTGAAGATCAATTCTTAGCCTATCTCTGTCTTTCTTCTATTATTTTTTCTTCTTATATAATTCAATTTATGGCACTCTAGAGATGGCGCTGATTTCTTATTTACTTTATATCAAAATCAAACATGTAATTGCCGATCATAAATATGCATTGAAGAATAGGTACAAAATATATATAAATATAATTAAATAATTAATATTAACTATAAGAATTTTATCATTGTTATAAGTTATTTAATATTTTTATCGTCATCAAGTTAAAAATATTCTATTCCGCAATTTTAATGATATTTTAACAAGGATTACGTTTAATAAAGTTTAATACTTATATAAAAAAATGATATAAATGATGTAAGTTATTTTATTCCTGAAATTTTTGCATTAAAAAATAAATAAAATTCCTAAATAAATAAATAATAAATAAATAAAATTCCTATTTAAAAAGTTGAAAATAACAGATAGGTTTCCTTTTTTTTTTTTCAAATAATAACTGAATAATAGTTGAAATTAACTTGTCATTGTTTCTCGTAATTGAGCTTTGAATGAATCGGATAATGCAAAAATTATTTTAAACATATAATATATTCATTTGTATGCTTGTACATATCTCGCATTCTTTTATACAACAAAATATCTATGACAACAGTATAGTAGAGAACGGTATACAATATATAGTTATATCAATAATTCATTCATAAATATGAGATGCAAGACAGCCTCGTTCTCTTAAGACATAACATTATCGAGTCATGATTGCATAAAATACATATAAGTATGTACTCTTGTTGATTACTCTGATGTCCAGTCTTTCGGTAGAACTTTTGCATCGGTTTTTCTCCGCGTCTAGTGGATTTGATTTGATTTCATTTAAATCGTTTCATAACAATATATATATATATGCGTGTATATGTACACATACATATATGTTGTTACTTCGATCGTATATTCGATATAATTTTGCGTTTAATACCACAATAAAGAACGGGTTTCTTCTAATACTGTTAGACCTTTGTAATAACGTTAAAAGAAAATAATTGTTAAAACATAATAATCGTGCATGACTTTCATGACGTGTGACACTTACGATTAATCGTAAATCTGTTTGTAAAGGAACATGACGATCTGTGCGATTTTCGTCGTTGAACGAAAGCGTCGATAAAACTGCATAATACTTCTTCTTAAACGATATACTTTCGGCTATAATACGAATGTTGTAAAGTAGGCCAATCGGTTCGTGCTCCCTTCGTAATCTTCGAAACTGGCGAACCGGCGAACCGAACGCTTTCGCAAATATCAATGGGGGCGATTTCGTTCGTTAAATCTTTAACAAGAGAGAATATCCGTTAGTGAAAAAATATGCTATTTACATGTAAGGTATCTAGTTGTGCGTCGATTCATTAATTCGCCGTTGGAGTGTATCAAAATCTACTTAAAGGGATCAACGATTTATGCAGCCGTTATTTTTCATCGATCTTTTTTTCTTCTTTTTCTTATTCTTCTTCTTCTTCTTCTTCTTCTCTTCTTCTTCTAAATGTAAACATGCGCGTATAATAATTCCGGCCGGAGAATCCTAATCCGATAAAAATCGACGATATTACTTACACAAGAAATATCGTTACTCGTCGGGATTCGAAGTAAGTTGTACTCTGATCGAAAATATGTAAAAAAATGGCATAAACCTCGAAAAAAATGGTATTTTTTGTTCGCGGGGAATTGCAAGCATCGTCGGCAGTTTTTTCGATACATTTTACGGGTAGAGATCAATCGTGTTCTATCATTATGTGCTCTAGCGTGAAACAACTAATTATAACGTGAATTTTTCTCTTTTCGATAACGAGTGCTTGATTGTTTAACGAGAGTGATGAGAACACGCACGATTCGATATTCGATCGACCACTGGATACGGACAGTGGAAGGTAAGAGACGCATAGAAAATAGTTTCTCTCCAATAAAATTCAAACGTATACAAGGTGTCTCGAGTTCTCTCTTTCGTTCTTTCTTTCTTTCTTTCTTTCTTTTTTTTTCTCTCCTTTTCGATCGAGCTAATAATTTGTTTCGCGTGTAATCTACTTGTACTCGTACTATACATATCATACATACGACACCTCATCGTAAGTCCAAATATTCCCGCTACATTTAACGTTGTACAATTAATTATTTAGATTTTTCGCTTTAGACTTAACCTCGAAATGCTAAATAATTCGTTAATTCTATTAGAAATGAAACGGAATAAAACGGAATCCCTTTTCCCCTCCCAACATTTCCCTGCTTACATCGTTTCGTATTTAACGTTTATTGTCGATAGATAACAATTAGAAGAACGTAGGAGATATATCTAACGATAGATCGATGCAAATTCAAGATCGTTGTTAGCATTTCAAGATTAAAGAATCCAATGCCAAAATCGCACGAATATTTTTTCTTTCTTTCTTTCTTTCTTTCTCTTTCTTTTTTTTTTTTCTCTCTTTTCTTTATAAAGGCCAGCAGAAATTTTTGGCATTCAACGTATTTTTTATGCATCTAAATACCTTTTTCGATACACTCGATCACACAGAGCACACAATTCCCTTATACGCTAATATGTACATACCATACAAAGCATCACAAGATTACATACATAAATTTATACACTTTTTCATAATAAAATATCCGATTCTCTATTATGCTACTTCATACGGAGAATGATCAGCTCCACGCGAGATATATATAATTCCGCGCATTCAACGTTCCGTTTTCTTACAATACAAATACACGACACATGGTACATCTATTTTTTCGCAATTATCGAAGGATTTAATTCTCTCATATTATTCTCTCATAATACGTTCTTCTATTTAGGGGCCAAATAAATCTTCTTTGTCGATTTACCGTTTTCACGAAACTAGAATTTCCGCTTGACAAAGATTTGGCCGATTATAAATCTTCTTCAACGTTGATATGCTACTTATATTTAACCGATTGTTTCCACAATCTTTTGTTTCATTTACCTAAATGAAATTTAACGTCGTCCGCCTTGATCTTTTATTTACAACATACGTCACGCTATTTCGACGCGAGGGGTAAGCCAAGATTCCTCCAAACTAGGAGATTCTTCAACGATCGTCGTCCATCATATTACGTATAATGTAAAACGTTGATTTTTCGTAACTGTACAATTGACATTTATCGCTACAAAAAATGTTTATATCGGTAAAATAATAATCGCGTAATAAATATAATTTGGTAACTTTGGTAACTTTGTAACTTGTACGCTACATTACGGACGAAGCCCGAATCGAGACGATCTCTAAATTTATTCGGACAAACAAAATCTCAAATGTCTAACGAATGGCACGTTATCTTACTTACATACGCTGTTTAGACGAATAATAATCAACGGATATTTGTTTCATAATCGATAAGATCATTCGAAGACGCGAAGTCTTCATTTTTTACAACAATTTAAGTAATCGCGTGTCGGACGCCTTCTCTCGATTCGACTCGAGACGATCTTCGACTTTAATTTGTTTCGTCTGGAAATTTTAAAAATGTCCATATCGTGAATCGAGCAATATCGTTTAAATAGATACCTCGGACTTTGGACAGAACGTAAATTGCCCTCAATTCGGAATTTTATCCGTAATTAAACGTACTACGCGATAAATGTTAATCGAATAAAAATCTTACATACATACATACATACATACGTACATACATACATACATACACTAGCACAGGCCAAAATATTATTCCATATTACCGATAGTATTACGGCTACTCTTTTAACACAGAGCACACGATTGATTCGATAAAATACGTAAATAGCATTTCTCTTCTGAAATTTCGTTACCATTCGTATGTCGTTGAATCGCTGCACTGGATGGATGGATCGGGAAGAGGGAAAAAAGAGAGAGAGAGAGAGAGAGAGAGAGGGGGTTAGGTATCACTTGGAGATGATTCGAGTCGCTTCTCGTAAAGTACAAGTAAGTATGTATCTTGGGAGACTAGCAAAGTATCAACGTTAATAGGCGTAGGTCGTTAGCCCCTTTCTTCCCGGAAAACGTTGGGTTACCGACTACCCTAGGAACAACGTTGCCCCTTTTTCTATAATAATCTTTTTCTTTTATACGTATACCTATAATAATAAATCCAATCTTCACGCGCCGCGTGTATAGTAAATAAAGTACTTTCGAAAGTGCGTATAAATCGGTGTATAATGCGTTTCACACGCTATAGGTAAACAATTCGGCTTCGTTTCGATTCGTCGAAAGATTGTTTTCCATAAGGGTATTAAACTTTGGTATTTCGATCTTTAACCGACGAAAATAATCTTTCGACGCGTATGACGGAAATGGGTGACATTTTCTTGATCTGCGAATTATATGCGTGTAATATAAACTAACTAACTGAAATAAATAAACGATTTGGCGATTATCTCGCCGAACATATCTTGCTTTTCCGCAGATATCGTATCACGCCAAGGTATCGCGCGTCGATACGTATCGCGAGAAACGCAAATATCGTTACGAAACGTACGGATGATGATCTCGCATCGTTCTTGTCCCATTCCCGGTAAACAAAGGGTTAACTCGTCTCAACGTTCAAATAATTCACCAGCCATCGATCAACGATATCCGCATTCTCTTTTACCCAATGAATATTGAACTTGATCGTTTCTAGACTTTGCTCCAATGCACGTTCACCGCTTCCGACGTCCACCTTTTTAAAGAATTCCGAAACCTACGGTTTAAAAGCATGAAAACATTGAAAACGCATTTCTTCTTCTTTTCGAATCGATCGAATCGGATGCAAATTCTCCCGGAGAAGGAGAATTTAAAAATTTTAACGACAGTTTAGGCTAAAGTAAAGTTTTTTTCAACGAAACGTCCGTTCGATTCGAGAGTAAGATTGTGTATGTAAGAAAATATGTGTAAATAAGAAATACGAACCTCGTGGTAGTCGTATTCCGTGAAAAAGTTGGAAACCACGACAGATATAAGTCCGCTCAACGATCCATTGCCAAGTAAAACGTGTATCTGAGGCCAATACGCTTTAAGGTGACGCCACGCGAGAAATTGACCGTCGGAATTGGTGGCGACGGAAATTATAACCGTTTCCATGTCTTGCGACTTCACCATGTCACGATCTAACGACCGTAAAAGATAACGTTGCAACAACCAAGAATCTGTGCTCGCTCCCAACGCTTCCAACATTATCAATTTCTCGCTCGATACTTGAGTCTCTTGATAATTTTCCCAACAATGATTCCACTCCTTTTCACCGCCAAACTTGATTCCTATATACCCATGATTCCGTGTATCGAATCCGTAAGATATATTTTTTATTCCGTTTATTATTCCATAAATAGACAATTGAAAAAAAAAAAAGAGAAAAAAAGATAATTACCTGCGATGTACACTACATTCCGTATATTGGGCGCGATCCGTTTACCTTTCAACATCCAATCTTCGAAAAGGGATTTGGCTGGCTTTACCACATCTTCCAATTTTATGGACACAGCCGATTGAAGTACGGCGATCCTCAATAATCTGCGGAAAAATTTATATATATATATATCTATAGATGAAAATGATTCGCTTCGAATTCGATTCGAACGTGTTATATTGTGTCTTCTCGAGAAGAGATACGCGTAAAACTATTATTATATTAGTATTGGTATCAGCAATTATGAGTTATTACGAGTTATGAGTTATAGTTACTTCTTCAAATGGGACCCCTCGTCGGACCAACCCACGTATTTCGTAACCGGAGTCAACAGTTTTTTAAAAAATAAGATATATCTTTTGTATCCAGGACTTTCGCTCAATCTTTCTTTCCAAGAATGTAGATATCTGAGCGCCGTGGTCCACGGCGCGTAATCCCTTTCGTTCAAAAGATAAAGGGACAATCGAAGGGGAACGGTGGCGTTCAACTCGCCCGCCTCGCACAACGTGAACGCATCGTCGATGAGATTAGCACGGTCCGCTGGACTAAACTTGGTGTGATCGTTCAACAAGGTAGCGATGATCGACGCCCACATCTCTTCCGGATAAGTCACGCGATAAAATCCACTTTGATTCACGTTACATTTTATATATTCCACGTCGCTAGGTATCTCGAACGTCGCTGAAAATAAATGATCGTTTAAATATATACGTAAGGGAGGCAACGAACGCTTCTCTCGATCATTGTTTCGTGCGCTCGTACCGTCGGTTAAATTCATCCACACGTTGTGAAGTTTGCGCGGTTCTTTGTCCGTGTAGTAGCTCAACGGGATATACCATTTGTAGTCAAACGACGATTTCGTTCGTTGCGATTCCGTATCGTTCTCTTTCGGCGAAATTAAAAATCTCTTCTGAGTAGCCGTGATTGTATTCCCGTTACGCGTAATCGTGATCAGAGGAAAACCCATTTGCTGCGTCCACGTGTCCATAATAGCCTGTCGGATGGGATTCGATTTAATCATTTATACGTACACACGCACGCGCACACACACACATATTTATACGTACGGTAAATAAAAGATAAATAAAAGATGGAACAACACGGTATTTTTTTTCTTGTCTATATTACAGATAAAATTATAGTATATATATATATATATCGGTCTAAATGTATACCTACTTTCACGTCAAAAGTATTATTGGCATGTTTGGTAAAGGCCGCCCAAAGATCGTTCGTATCTGCATTTCCATACGCGTGCGAATTCAGATAATCGTTCAATCCGCTTTTGAGAACGTCTTCGCATAAAAAGCCTTCAAGCATGTTTAGAATGGAAGCACCCTTACTGTAACTGATATCGTCGAATATCGCTTCGATCTCGTTCGGATCTTTGACCTGGACGCTTATAGGATGACTGGTGGCCAACGCGTCGAGATCTAGAGCCGATTGCGTTTTCTCTAATATAAACTTGTCCATCATGCTCCACTCGGGTGAAATGTGATTCACCCCCTTGTACTCGAAGAAACTGGCCGCCCCCTCGTTCAACCACAAGTCGTTCCACCATTTCATAGTGACCAGATTACCGAACCATTGATGGGCCAATTCGTGAGCCACGATCGTACCGATCCATTCGTGAACGTTGGTCGACGACTCTTCCGGATCGTAAAGTATCGATGTCTCCCGATACGTGATCAGGCCCCAGTTTTCCATCGCCCCGGTGGCAAAATCGGGGATAGCTATTAGATCTGCGGAATGGAGTTATCGCGAGTTAAAAAGAAACGAGAAGGAAAGGGAAAGAAGAGAGACTCGATCTTTTCTTCGATCGAATCGTTTCGCACGAACCTTGTTTAGGCAACGGATAATGTACCCCGAAAAAAGACTCGAAGTAATCCATTATACGAGCGGCTGTTGTCACCGCGTATCTCGCCTGTGGAAGCATCGCCTCTGACGCGTAAACGCTCACGGAAATATTTCTTTTCGTTAATTCCGAGACTCGTTTGAAATCGCACACTACGAACGCCACCAAATACGTGGACATCTCTACGGATTCTTGGAAGTCGTCGCGAAGCTGAAAAAAATTTATCACGCGTATAGAATATTATTATGCATCAATTATGAATCAATCGTTTCGATACTCACGAGTCCCGTGCCCATGTAAAATCCCGCGTCCTCGGTGTTCATTACAGGCATGTTGCACAACGCGATGTGAAATCTGTCTCTGAATATCGAAACCTTGAACTTTGCTTTAAATTGCGGTTCGTCGAAGCATGGAAATGCCGAGCGTGCGTACGTAGGTTCGAAATGGGTTGTCGCGAGGTACCTAAAGTTGGGAGAGAGAGAGAGAGAGAGAAAGAAAAAAAAAAAGAGAGAAAGAAATTCGGTTAAAAATTTACTCGAGATAGAAACGCGCCTTCAACAGATTTTCCAAACAGAAAATTATTACAGTTTCAGAGTGACCTCTTTTCTCCTTCCGGGGTAACGTAGCTGCTAAGATAAAATCCCTCCAGTTCGCTGCTGAGTTTCGAAATGAACCTCAAATGTACCGTGTAATTTCCTCTCTTTCGAAATTTACTCTCTTCCAATTCTAAATATAATTGTTGGTGTTTCGGATATTCCAGCAATCTCGAAATTTTTAATCTGTGCCCTTTACGGTCTTGAATCATCTAAAAAAAAACGAACAACGATGCGATCAAAATTATCAAAATGTCTGTGCGTAATTTCAAAAAAAAAAAAAAAAAAAAAGAGAGAAGAAAAATTGCTTTACACTCACTTTCTCGTTTATTGTCAAATTTTTACTATGGAAGACGATATAGTTGGTCTCTCTATCGACGTAGAATTCGATCGTGACCTGTCCTGAAAGTGCAAATCAAGTTATATTAAGTTAATCGTGCCACGAAATATTGCGTAAATAATTATTGAATATGTGCGAACGACACACGTCGTTTATTTACCTTTTACCTCTAACGTTGTAAGATTTGGATGGATGGTGATATTGTACCTGGTAGGATGCGCAAACGTAGGTAATCTCACGTTATTCCAAGGGAACACCTGTAACGATTCCGTTCGATCAATTTTATTTTTAAACGATCGAGTAAAAAATTTCGCGCCAAAGATCTGTCCATCTATCTATCCATCTATCCGTTTTCCGCGTATGATAAAATTTTACGAACGGTACGACGCGAAGCGTTATAGCAGTTACTATATATACGTATATATATATATACTATAGATCACGATGACGTGTTACGATTGATTTCCCGCCAACACGTTTCGTAGTTCGTTCACAGTTAGCTTCGAGCCAAGCATATGTTGGTGCGAGCATTATAATACCACACGGAACCTATATTACAACGTACGTTGTATTATAAAGGTGACGTCGAATCCAATACGTATTTCACACTTTGGACGCGTTCTAATTTCTCTTGCAACCCGAATAGAGTCGATATTAATTCGAGGAATTCGTGGTCTAGAATACGCGTGAAATAAACGCGATACGATGTTTTTGCTCGACGATATCGTCATCAAGGGAAATAAAAACGAATAATAAAAATAATAATAACCATACCTCTCCATTAGTCGCAAGAGGCTCGCTGCTTTTTTTATCGTCCTCGATATCCACGCTGGCTGGCTTCTCTCCAGCGCAAGGGCAGTCTATTAAAAACAAAAAAAAAAAAAAAAAAAAACGATNAAAAAAAAAAAAAAAAAAAACGAGAAAACCAATAATACAAAGGGGGAATAGTTGAAACTCGACGAACGATTTTGCTCCTTGTTATATTCACAAATTGATGGAATTTTTACACTACCGTTTTGTGGTCCCGCGAAGGCAATGATGAGTGATATGGCGAAAAGGATCGCAAAAACAACGGTAGCTATGCAGAGAGCCCTTTTTTGAGAACACACAATTCCATTATGCTCGTAAATACTACGTTTGTGCAATCCTGTGTTACTGTCTCCTGGAACAAAGGATCTCCTGAAGAGTGATCCAATCTTGTATGTATACGTACGTACACATACGTTAACCATAATATTTAAAAGTTTATTTCAATAACGCGAACAAACGTATTGGTGTTGATAATTAAAAAATAAGAAAAAAAAGAAAAAAGAAAAGAAAAATACAAACGCGAGCGACTAGGTTGATAAAGTTTCCAAACATAAAATGTCTACTAAACGCGAGAAACAGGTTTCCCGTCCTCGGTTACACACTTGACCCAGATTTTTGATTGTCGAGAGACGAGCGACGTGTGACGTTAATGCGGTTACTCGGAAACACGTGAGACGCTCGTGTATATTTTATTATCGAATTCCAGTTTGGAAGATCGTAATTTTATAATTGGGGGATGGGGGGATGCACGCGTGCGGCGCAGCATTGGTTCGGAAGAGAGGAGGGCGAAGAGGTGGTAGAAGTAAACAAAAACGGAGCTTTTTCGAGAGCGAGAGCAATTCGCGCGAAATGAGTTTGTCCGCGCGACGCGATCTGTCTACTACGGAGTAGGAACGAACGAGTTTGGACGAACGTGTTTACGCGCACGCAACACGCGAGGTTATACCGCGATCCGGTCGGGATTAAAATTTGAAATGATGGCGAAGAGCGAAGGCGAGAGAGATCGAGGCGAGAAACGGGCGATACGATCGCGCGTTTCAATCCGAAAGATCAGAAGAAGCTTCTCCTTTATTGATCGCACGCACGTGCTCCTCGTATAGTCTATATTCGTAGCCCGGAGGGTCGTAAGTGGGCCATCTGGTCGAACGATTCGAAAGGAAGAGGAAGGATCGGCGTGTGCGAAAAAGAGAGGGAAACGAGGGAGGGAAGGGAAAAGGAGAAAGGGATGGAAAGAGAGGAATGGGGGAGAGAAATGTCGAGGTTATACCGCTGTCTCACCTGTCAGAAAGGCAACGTCATCCACATCTTGTTCGCTCATCGTGAACCGATTCGGCGGCGGTCTCCGACGAACGATTTCTTTTACCTGACCGTCGTTCGTGGCATATAAAATTTTGATCAAGGGCTCTCTCTGTTCAGCCAGAATTCGGGCGGTCGTACTCGTGGCTCCCTGCTTCTTCCCTTAATGCTTCCCTCCTCGATTCGTACACGGATCGTGTACGGTTGTTGTCGGTGTGCGTCCAGTGTCAAGGTCAAGGAATCACCGAGGAAGGCTCGATGTTTTTACCGGGGGACCAGCTCTCCTTCTTCGTCGTCCTCGTTCCGTTCGCTCGCTTTATTTCGATTCAAAGGCTCGATCTGTAGAGGCGAAGTCGGTCGAGTACACGGTCGAGTAGCGAGCACGGGCACGGGCACGGGCACGAGCACGAGCACGGGCACGGGGATACTCGTAAAATCACAATGAGCACAGGTGCGAAGAAGACGAGGACGAGGACGAGGACGAGGGCGAGCAGAGGCACGAGCAGGAGCACGAGCACAAGCACGAGTACGAGCGCGATCAACGAGGCCCCGACGAGGACCCGCGACAACGTGACGATGCACGAGCTTACGAAGTCACCGAACAGCTCGACGATGTCGGCCAGTCTATAACGCGCGACGTGCCTTGACATTTCATTGGCATTAAAGCGTGAATATAGCGACTGCGGAGTTAGGCAGAAATGGCGACTTTCCAAACCCCTTGGTGGCGGATCGCTTTACGGGGGTGGATTTGCAGCTCTCGCCACGCCGCACCTCGCTTCGCCTACCCTCCTATCGGAGGTGGTTGCTTGCTTTTACCGTGGCGCCATCCGTGACCCACCCTTCCAAAGTCCTTCTTCCCCTCTTTTATTTCCACGCTCGGGTTGGTAACAACATTCTCTACCATTCTTTCCCTCTCGCTTTCGCCCTCCGATATCCTAATATCTTTTCTACGATCGTATCGATCTTGCCTACCTTCTCTATTCCTTCCTTTATTTCCTCTTCCTCTCTCTTCCTATCGTATACGCGTGTATACGATAACGAACGGTAATATCGTATAGTCAAAAATCGAGAGAAAAAGAAGAAGGAGAAAAAGAAATGTTCAAGTGTTTTTTGTGCTGCGAAACATGATTTTTCACTCCAGTTTACCGTTGACACAATTATCCACTTTGCAAACCTATTCAACTGCATCGAGTATCGACACTTTAACATTCGATACGGCAACGAGGGGAAGTATGCGCGCGATACGTCCGAGAACTCTCGTTTTTGCATATAGGATAAAGGAGCCGACGATACACGTACAATCGTTACATCCCATGCATATTCAATAACTGCTGTTTCGTTTTTTTGTCCTCGTTCTATTCTCTCGAGATGAAACCAGTTTAACCTTAATCGTAATAATCTTATGCTATGCGAAATATCCTCTGATACGATGTCCTGGAAATTGCTTCATCAATTTAACACGTGAAAACGAAAGTTCGTACGCATCGCCTAATTTATCTTGCTTTTAAATCGTAGCCAATTATTAATCCGTCAATATTGATTATTCGTCCCGATTAATAACCGGTATGATGATGATGATGATGATAATAATATCGATTATTGATTATTAATCGAGTAAAACTGAAACGAAGAAAAATCGCAATTTTATTACGAATAATGTTAAATAATCGTACAATAATATTATAAATAATTGGGAGGCAAAAGACAACGATCGAGCATCGAATAGAGAAATGATCGATCGAATAACTGATACGTTGATTAATAAATATTTTTATTCTAGTGGAAAGATTCCAGCGTTGGAAAGCTGACGTTATCGAAAAAGAAGCGCGAAGTCGATGCGAGAATCTAGCGGATACGAAAAATTGGAACGGATCGATGCGAAACGATGTGCGAGCGTGGAATAAAATTCTGTCCTCGTATTACCGATTATGGATTCGCCAAGGATCTCTTAGAGAAGTTTTCGACTCATAGTAGCGAACTTGAGCGATACTTGAACCGTTCGAATCGTCCAAGTTCAATATTCTTGACGGACAAAGTCTCGATTGAATGCTGACAATGGCATTCAAACTGGGGAAAGAGGGAACATTTCCGTTTCTCATCTTCTTTTTGATCCGTGAATCAAGCCCTAAGGTTACCAACGTTTCTCTTATGTATCCAGTAAATCTTGTCTATCTTAACGTGACTTGTGATCGGATCTAAAAAAAAAACTGGTGAATATAAAAATAATTGTGACAAATATACAATAAGGATGTAAAAGTTATGTTTTTTTTACAAGGTTTTTAAAAATTCACGCTGTACCGTGTAGCAAAGATAGTTTACGATGCTCGTAAAAATATTTTACAACGTTACGCAAACTTACTCGAGTAACTCGTGACAAATTACGTTTTCGAATTTTCGACGAGTATTTCGGTAATACGAAATTCATCGATTTATTATTAAGAATAAAAAATCCGAATAATTTTTTTAATATTCGAAAACAAATCTATCCCTCTATTCTAAAATAAAACGGGTCACAAGTTCAAAAGTTCAGATATATATAAATGTTTCGCTTCTCTATCGATATTGATCATATTTGGAAACGTTAGAATAGTATATAAATAAACTGGATCAATTTAAAAATATTCTCTCGATTCCATTATCTCGTTTCGACAATTGATATTCGTCATTTGTTACAACGTTGTTAAAATCTTTCCAACAATTTTGCGTTCTCGTCAAAATCATCGTCTCTTCGCGTTAACAAAGTTTCCCCAGTAGTGGAGCAAAACTCTTTTTTGAATTCTTTTTTTTTTTTTTTTTTTTTTTTTACAATATGCTCGCTATTTTCGAAGGGACATCGAAACGATCGATCGAAACGAAAGCAAGAAATAAAAGTAAGAAAAATCGAAACGTAATTTATAAACAAAAAAGAAAAAACAAAAAAAAGAAAAGAATTAAAATTATTCGAATTATACATCGCGTCGAGAATAAAAAAAAAAAAAGAAAAAGATTTTTCCCCGAGGAAAAAGCATTTAAAAGCGAGATTGCGAAATACGGTGGCGTTAATGAAAATTTCAGGTTAACAATCCGTACGACAGTAGGCTCGAGCTTAGCGGTAAGTTGACTCGTTAAGAGAGTAGTGAAGGTTGGGTTACAAGTGGGTTTTTACTCACCTGAATTTATCGGGACCTCGGTGGTGGTGTTGGCAGTCCCGTTTTGGCCGGGACTTCGCGAACTCGAGGTTCTACCCAAAGGCTCCATCCGGATCGCCTCGCTGCTTTCTCGCGTCGAAGTTCCCCCTGGCATTTTCCTTCCTCCTCTTCCCCCTCCGCCTCCCTTTTTATCCGGTAACCTCGCACCGCGTCCACTTTCGAGCGGAACGTACACCCTTCCTCCTTCGCTCCACGCGAATCACATTCTTCCACCTTGATTTCGACGCTTTTCAACAACGATCCACTTTTGTCCTCTTCTTCCCTTTCATTCGTGTCAACGGATCGAGAGATTTTCATCCGACTACGGCCAACTTTCATTCGTTCGAACGCAACTCACTTCCTCACTTTTCACCAACCTTTCGCTCCTATATCTACATTCGATGTTCCACATTCTTCGTTACGTTTATACTTTATATTTATCTTTTCGTGGTAGACGGATATCACTCAAGGCGAACATTGGTCCCAATCGCGAAACTTTGGTAAAAAAAATTTATATAAAACGATATTTCTTTCTTTCTTTTTTTTTCTTTTTTTTTTTTTTTTTTAAATCTTTTTTATAAATACTGTCGTTTTGTAAAAGGGATCGATTCGTTTTTAATTATTACGTCCACTCGCTCGGGCAGTGCACATGTATCGTGGTCGAGCGATCAATAACATTATCAATTACAATTACACTAATAATTTTCGTAGCTTGTCGCGTAAATATATGTAAATATCTATGCTTTTTAACGTAAAAATACAAAGTACACTAATCTTGATAAATTACTTCTATTCGATACGTACGTAAAGTTTAGTCGTATTTTCAAAAAATATAAGCGAGCGAATATAAGGCAAAGTTGCAAATTAAGATAATTCGTGGCATCACGTATATACGTTCTATTTCTATAAACAAATAGCAATGTATATTTTTATTTCGTTCTCGTGTATGTTTCTTTTTATTATTATTATAATATCGTAAGATATTTCCTCGGCGTATTGTTAAACGCGATACCTGGAACAAAAATACAAAACACGATAATGTTTCGATATAAAGAAAATTCAAAAAGAGTAATTTGAGAGATAAAAAAAAAATCGATCGAACTTTTATTACGCGTAAGTATATTAGGATATACACAGGATCGTTTAGGAAATAAGCAATAATCTGGCGATAGGTATATCGCAATTTCCATTTATTCGTTCGGCCGCAAAATGAGAGATCCGTGAGAGAATGTATTAATTTTTAATAATCCGCTCGGAGCGATTTAACGGAAGAACGAAATGACGCGCCATATATAATATATCATATATAATAACATATATGAAACAACAATTGTCGATCGCTTTACGATTTGCCGCCAATTACAACCCCTTTCTCGTTCTGTTCGAGAACAGAATAGTTCTAGAGCCTAATAATATTGTATGAGCCGAATAACATTGTATTTCGTTTATTTCGAATCGATGATAAAATAACTTTTAATAAATTGTTATCGATTTTATCAGGTTTATAACGTGTAAAAAAACAATGTGGGTGTATAGGTCGGATCGCACGTTGTATATATACATTCAAAGCATATTTTATAAAGTTATTTCTGTAACGACAACAAAGTTGTTAATTATATGCACCAATATCTACCTTTTTTTTTTTTTTTTTCAAGTATACTCTCGTTTAGATATCCTCTGAAGCGTTATTTAAAAGAGACAGAGAGAGGAGGAGGGGGAAATTATCCATAGACAATAGACGCTAGATCGGTACATCTGTGTGAAAGTTTTATTTTAAACGGCAATTACAAGCCGAGACGTTGTAATTAGAGTCGTCGAGAATCAGAGGACCGGCAGAATAATCCACGAACGACACTTTCTTTTCATTTCGGTGGCAAGCAATTATGCATTTACCGAGACGAATGCTTTCCACACGGTTCGACTTTATTGCCACTAATTCGCGCCCATTGTGCAATCTCTTGTTTACACTCGTTTCTCTTTCAAAACTCTTCTACCGCGCGTAGTTTCGGTGCCGTTAATCGTACACGTTATCGTATAATAATTACGAATGTTACGTTTCTCTCCGTGCAAATCGTGATCGTTGAATGTATTAACCGTATCGAGATGCAAATTGTAATTTAATAGTTTCATTATAGTTTTATCATATACATGTAGATATATACTTGAAAGAACACGTTTGCACGTTTTTCTCGGTATTGAAATTCTTGAAAGAAGAAAATTATATAATTGATACATTATATAAAATGATACATCTATATATCGAATAAGACACTTTAACATTTGCCAGAACATTGTTCGTTCGATTCATAGAATATTCAAAGAATCGCGATAATTAATAAATTTACAAGGAATGTTGTTTCTTAAAATTTTTCCTCATGATGATTAATTATACGTTAATTTTGACAATTACAGATTTATGGTACAAATAAATTACATATTTTTTCTCGCGGTTAGTTTTAGTTTGCTTATAAAAATTTTACTACAACAAATTCTATTTATACTACGTTGCATAATAAATGATATGCATCGTGCAGACAAGCGAAGGTTACGAGAAAATTATCTCTAATTTCTGAGTGTTTTTGTATTTAACTTTGTTATTATAATGCTACGTAATATTTCCTTCGAAATGTAAATTTTAATCGTGCGATTTTTATATTTGTACCAGACGATGTTTTTCCAATTTAAAAAGCATAATTATTTATTTTTATTTTTATCATAATTCGTACCATGATGCGAACAACGATCCTTTGATGGATATAGCTAGTTAAAATATAAAGATTCTCGACACGTTTCGTACGAAGATAGAAATTTTTCGAGAAAAACGTCTAAATATTAATTTTTAATTAGTTTCGTTATCGAGTTGGAGTACGGACGAAGCGAAAAGTCGGATGAATTTCTCGCCTTTTCTACTTTCCTTCGTAAATTCGAAGAATACGGGGAGCATCGTGCGAGGCGAATTTTCAACGGAAAGAGAAATAGTGCGCAACTTTTTGTTTCATCCTTAGTTCTTAGTTCACTACACGGGTAACAGCATTTGTGTGCGCGTGTGATACACGAACGCTACCTCGTGATAGAACGTTGACCCTGCCCAGTTCGCGGTCGAGAAATCCCTCCAAACAAACGAAACCGTTAAAATACAAAGACTCGTGTGTCCCACGTCCACCTAAATCGTGGCACCATATTTAATAATATGCTTAATAATNCGCTACCTCGTGATAGAACGTTGACCCTGCCCAGTTCGCGGTCGAGAAATCCCTCCAAACAAACGAAACCGTTAAAATACAAAGACTCGTGTGTCCCGCGTCCACCTAAATCGTGGCACCATATTTTCCAACTGCTTAATAATACATCTATATACCTACGCGTAAGAAGAAAAAAAAAATGAAATCGAGGAAAAAAAGAGAGACGCGAAACGAAAAAAAGGATCGAAGGAACGAATGAATTTGGAATATGCGTATATTAATAATTGCATGGAAAGGCGTTGAATGGAAACGAAAGCGAAAAAGGAAGGGAAGGAAGAAAAAAGAAAGGAAAATAGAAAACTAACCTTGTTCCCAGTGAGCAAAAGGATTCGGTCGATTCGACGGGAAACGAAATCGATCGATATTCGAAATTCGACGTTGACGATGACGTTGAAGGCAGAAATGTGGAAAACGCGGCTGGAACCGGCACACACACCTCTACTTCTCAACTCTGCTACTCAAACATCGGAAGCGGAAGGAAATATTTATGCGCGCCGCGGCAGATTGAACGGATCGAAGTTGGAGAAAAGAAAAAGGCGCGGTGGCGTGTCGGGTGTTGGACGACGATCGCATCGCTGCCGATGATTAAACTCGACGGACGACTGTACGGATGTACGAGGAGACGATGGGAGGCAGCATCGTCCGTGTAAACGGTCGAACGGTGAGAATGGCACTGAGCGAGGGGAGTTTGAGAATCGAGCGTGGCTAAATTTCCGGACGCAGGGAGGCGCGGCGGTCAGGATCAGCCACAGGTTGCGCCCGCCTCGTTCACGCAGGCCGGGCATCTTGGCTGATCGTAAAGCGGGGAGGAGGGAGAGGACACCCTCTATGCCCAAGCGACAGAAAGAGAAATCGATTAACTTAACATCCACAGCTACATACCCCTTCTTTCCTCCAACGTTCACGCGAGTTACGATTTCGATCGCTTTCGAAATAGACTCTCAACTCCCGTTGTATTTTAACTAAATTCCACTCGATCGATCCGCTTTCTTTTTTCGAACTTTCCAAAATATTCGCTTCTCGTCCGTTTCCTACATACATACGAGTACGATTAATTAATTCGTAATAATTAATTCCTAGGTATGTTATAGAGAATAAGAATAAATTCGATTCATTTTATATCGATTCGTTTGATTTAATGGTATTGAAAGGTATTGAAACGTATAACGATTGTATCGCAAACGAGGATATATTTAATCCGTTACCTGTGTCGATACAACAAAATTACGATAGAAACGATGAACGTTTTTGAAATTTTGAATCGAATAACGATTGCATTAATTAATAAAATTGAATAATATTGTAAAGCGAAAAATAATAAAAAATGATATAGTAAGTAAGATTAACGATTGATCGATAAGTTATCTATAATTGATGATAAATGAATCGAGTGGAAGCTCGATGCTCAACGACCGTATGTAGTGTTCGTGAAGGTATTCGAAGCTACTCTATATTTTATTCCAACGAAAATGAAGGTAAGTAATAATTAAATCGTTTAATCGTTACAATTGAAATGAATTTGTTTGCTCGAATCGAATAATGTTAATTATTACGTTAGATGTCATTTCATATCGGTGAAAACGAAGTTATTTTGTTCGACGAATGGCATCCGGTAGATTGGCAAGGTCTTGGATGGTCGATGGTTGGTGTTATTCTCATAGCGTCTATATACGAAGGGATAAAAAATTACCGGTGAGAGATTGTTCTTCTAATAAGTAAGTAATGCATATATCATTTTTGTATCACGCGTTACAAGAGTGTTAACATATTCGTGGGATCTTTGACGAATCTTTAACGATCCTAGAGATAAAAAACGAAAATTGATATACGAAATATACGTCGATCGAGCCTTATTTATCGAGTTATAAGAAATTTAAATTGGCGCAATGGAGCGAGACGGAAATAGACGAAGACGGAACGGTCTGATTCCGTTTCCGCCTCGCTCCATCTAACGCCAACCTAAATTCCTTATAACTCGATAAATAAAATTCGACCAACATTTTCGTACATCAATTTTTTCCATTTGTTAAGAATCGATCCTCTGAAGAAGAAATGTGTCCACGAATATATCAACACCTTGTGTACAGAATAGCGAATCTAAATCTATTAATGTTCTTCCTTCTTTCTGTCTTAGCGATCATTTATACATCAATACAACACGTTTATGGAAAAATAAAGAAATTAATAATAGAGGGTACGTATTACTTTATTTCTTAGATCTGGAATATACGCTTTGGATATATTCCTCGATGAATAATACTTTTCTTTTCCAAAATTGTTTTTTATTTATTAATAACACAGACTACAAAACTAACTCTTGCACTCTCGTTTAATTTCAGAACATTACTCTTTTCCAAAATACACTTTCTTCAAACGATTATTCATGTCATTCAACTGGTCATAGGATATTGTCTTATGTTGATATTCATGACGTACAATATTTGGCTTTGTATCGCAGTAACATTGGGCACGGCTCTCGGTTATTGGCTGTTTTCTTGGGATAAATCGAACGGTGACAGCGATGACTGCTGCTTATAAATTTTACATCGAATACGTATTTTATCCTGATATCGATATTATTTTGTCCCCTGATGTAAGACACGTTATAATTGTAAAAATTATGATATTCTTAATAAATTTTTCATACCAATTTTTCTATCGTTCGTTGACATATATTTTTTTTACATTCTACATTTATCGTATCGTTTCAATTTTTTTCTTTTTGTCTTTATTTAATACGTAATTATTATATTTTTTTTTATATATTCGAACTTTTAAGAATTAATTCACAATATAATTTGTTATGAATTTTTGTATTCTGTATTCTTACACATAATAATTTTGTATTAACACGTACGCTATACGTATGATAAATATTCATTTGAATATATTTTTTTTATTTTATAAGTTTATCAAAATAACGATGGATATATACGCAGAATTAAGAAATAAAAATTCTGTAAAAAATCGAATTAAATACATATTAATTTATTAATTTTTTATTTGAATTAATTAATTATAAATATAAATATTCAATATGTTCATTTCACAATTGTTAAATTACATCTTTCATAAATATTTTTTATCTACCTATAAATATATTACATTGCACGTACCTATAGATTATTATTGATTGTGATAAATGTTCCATTCAATTGGTTACGTTATCTAATCGTACTTTTTCATTGTAGAACGTAATCATATATACAGAGTGTTAATGTATTTGGATCATCATTTGGTGTGTCGCTGGTGCAAGAGGATTTTATCATAGATCAGAAATAAAATATACTTTAAAATATAAAAAAAGATAGTAATACGAAGAATTAAAAATGAATATGAGGTTTAGAAAAAAATTTAAAACTGTGAACGAAATTATATTCGGATGGGATAAATTTAACGCTATAACATTTTTTATTTTCATATTACTCTTTTGCGTGTGGTGTTTTACATTTTTTTTCGTGTATAATTCAAATACCGTACTCGAAAATCATTCAGGACATCAACATTAACAAGAAGAACAATCATTTTCTTCGACTGAAAGATGTTAAAAATATAGGTAAGTATTATATATTTTTTTTTCTATGTACGTGTAATTGCAGGATATTTAATACGTTTAATTTAATTGTTAAATTAAGTAATTACTTGATATATCGTTATGTTAGAATATTAATAAGAATCTCAATTCATTTAAAATAAAGAATCATTTTGACAAACAATTTGTATCAACAAGCATATCGAAACGTGTCATAGATTGGACGATATTCTCGTTAAAATTAGTAACGATGCGATTTGATCGTTTGTTTGTTCAAAACAAAGATAGCTATGTATGCATGAGATGTAAGATATATTTAAATGTTCCTATTGAACGAAACTCGTTACGATCGAAACAAAATATTTTTTTTTAAATGAAAAAAAAAAATCACATTATTTATTCTTATTTATTCTCATTTATCTTTATTCCTGTTACTAGCAGAATTTAAATATAAATTCACATGGATGATACGAATGATGAAGTCAATTACACTTGATACGACGCATAATTTCACGCAATTTACGTTTGTTCGATACACGCTCTCATGGAAAGAGAGACAGAGTGAGAACGAAGCGCTTTGTGTCACGATACTCGTCACGAGACTGAACGTTGGACGATACAATCGATGCAATAAAAATTTATGCACATTTCATTTCTATCTATTTAATCCAATTATTTATTTATTTTATCTTATTATACTTCTATGTAATCAGAAATAAATTTGCATGTTTTAATTTATACATTTCTTTCTTTCTTTATCGCGATGAAGATGGAAAGAGGGAGAAAGAGACAGAGAGAGAGAGAGAGAGAGAGAGAGAGAGAGAGAGAGAGAGAGAGAAAGAGAGAAAAAGAGAGGAGTAAAATTTAAACGCACGTCGCATTTAGAGAGACGAGATAAAACGATAATAATTAGATAAAAATCGAGATTGGACACTAAAGGGCAACGACTATATCGTGTCGAACGTCGAAATAACCGAGTCTTATTATTATTTTCAAGGATAATGTCACGCGTTTATTTCGTTTCTTCCGTCGGTCGGTCCGAGGGACGTGCGAGTTGGCGAGAGATCAACAGTTATCGCGCACTCCTTTCGTTTCACCGCTATTCATCCGCTTTTTTTTTCCGAGACACACCCTTCCAACTTCACCGCATCCACCTGCCTTGGGCGGCCTTTGTGCATTAAGCCTTTTGAACCCGATAATCCATAGAGATTACAGCTCAACGGTTCGTGGTCCTTCGCCTTTTTATTTCCTTGTTCTTTTTTTTTTTTTCTGTCTCAACTTCCTCCTCCTCCATCTTATCCCTAAAACATTGCTCATTTACATTTTGATCGTATTTATCATACGCGAGATACGATGCACGTACATATCTGATTTTCACTAATGTCCTAACTTCTCGCGATATACACGTTTCATAACGAAATTAATAGTTCCGAATCGTTTCAAACTCGTTTATTCCATTCCATGCTTGAAATACAGTTTTTCGATATATAATTTTTTTTTCCTTCTTACAACTCTTTTTAATATTTTAATAAATTGAAACAATTTAGATTCATCGTAATCAATAATTCGTAGTTTAACGAACGAACAAGCGCTTAAATTTTAGCATAATATCTGCTCGAATCTCGAAATTGTTTTAATCTTGAAAAATTTTCACAATCTTATCGCTCATCTACATGATAAAAGGGCAACGTAAAGATATAATAGGGGATAAAATACGAGTAAGCTCGCGATTATACGGTTGATTAAGGTGAATCGGTGTAAAGTGCATTAACGGATTGTCGCGCAAACTTGAAGCTTTGTTTGCACATGGATCGAAGAAAAGCTCGCACGTCCAACGGTTTTCTCGGAGGAAATGGTAAACTGATGGATCGAATAATCGGAGAGGAATTGTCCCCGACCATCCAGACGCCAAGGGGTGTAGATGTACGCGTAGCGCGACCGGTCGATACTGGCGTCGGCTGCTAGTAACCTATGCATTCTCCTTTCACGCACCGACATCCCCTCAAACCTCGCGCTTCCTCTCTGATTCCATCTCCTACCCTCCACACCATCCCTAATAATCTTCTAACTCGACCCATCGTGCATTCCTTCGCTCGATCGAGTATTCGCTTTTACGATTTATCTTCCTTTATTTTCTTATTTTATAATATTCAACTGATTCGAACTAATTCGCCTACCTTCATTATTATAATTTTAAATGTACAGATTTACGCGATATTCTTTTATAAAAATTTTTTTAATATTTTTATCAAACAATTTAACAGTTTTGTTAATATTATCGTTTTCATTTCATTACTTTCGTAAATTTATCAATTTTTAATTATCCGATTTATCTGTTTTATTTGTATCTAAAGGTTGAAACGAATTTCAAATTCGTTGTAATTTCATAAATTTGAAATTCATTGAAAAGCTCGATCGCTAAAGAGATATGGTCGGTTCGTGAACGAGAATTTCCGTTCGCTAGTTTGTTACGGTTTCGAAATTTCCGGCCAGATCGTAGCACGTATCGACCAATGGTAATTACATTGTCACCAAGATGGTCAAAGGAGAAACAAGTGCGATCACCTATATCTGTTTTTAAACGGGAAATATTTGGCCATCGTCCAAATTGACATCTAAATACTACATGTTGCTTCTTGCAAAGTATTCTAATAGTCGAAAGTTTTGTAACAACTTATACGATCAGCCTCGTGTATTTTTGCTACAAATTGATATTAAATATTACGATAAAAAATTGTATTCTAATATATATAATAATTTATATTACGCATATTCTATTGTTTAACTTTTCTAAATTGTTTAACATTTTTACGCATTTATGATATAAACAGTTTTTTCCGTATATATATATATGGAAACATTAATTTCTGTACATAATTAGTTGAACAAGTTTGATTGTAATTATATATATTTCAGATTTAAAAAAACTATGTTTATAATAAATATTGGTAAATTATATAATTTATTATATAAATATTTTTAATATATAATATATAATTATTTAATAAATATATTGCGGAGATATAGTTATGAACAATATGTTAAAAATTTTCCAGAATTTTTGCGAGGTATAAAATTATTGACCTTTTCTACTCTGAAATGCGAAATATATATTATATTTCAGTTCGAGCTTACAGTCTGCAACGATAGTTGGCACCACATGCTTTGTATATCTATCTTATTTCAACAAAAAAATTTTTGAATATTCAAATATTTAAATATTTTGAAAGCGTATGATCTAAGTATTAAATTGACTATGTGCATTGAAATTCATATACGAATTATAAAATTTTATATTCTTGCCTATTATTTCATTCTTTATATTTTATATCTTCAAAATTTGTTTAACGAAAATTAAATAAATTTTCACTCGATATCGAGAACAATCTTGATAAATTTGAACGTAGAAATATTTAAATATTTTCGAAGCAACAATAAAATCTAATAAATATATAGTAAAGTACGAAAAATATTTTTTCTATACACCGACCAGTTTGCGCACACTAAAATCATGCTAATAAATTCGTATGAATAGCATTTGCGTGTTTCGTATATAAAATTCATTTAAATAAGTTTTATTTCAGGTCGAAGCTATTTCGCGTAAATAACAAACGCTATCAAGCGTAGATGTCAAAAACGTGTTCATACCGTTCAATCATCTAACTTTATTTTTTCCTCTTTATCTATAAGAAAAACGTAGAGATAAGTATACAATTTATTTTCAATCTAGTTTCATTAATTTTTATAAATACATACATTTTTTTACGAATAACTCGTACAATTTACGGGAAAATATCGACGAAAAGAAGGAATGTTTACGAAATATTTTCTCGATGAATCGGTAGAAGAATCGCTGTAAAGCACTTTTGGAGGATCGTGAGCGGTGACCTTGGCCTCTAGTAGTGGTTGTTTTAACACATAACGCAAGACACGTACGTAAAAGAGGGTAATGGCGAACACGCGATCCAATGTGTATAAGCCAACTGCAAGGAAATCGTTGCGACAAAATTCTCCGCGTTCTCCTTTCAAATGTATACAGGTTGGTTAGAATTGATATCCTTTCCGGGATAAACCGTACAATTGCAATTTGCACTTACAGATTGCTCACTGCCTTTTAAATTTCTCAATGCCAGTCTTTTTTTTTCTTTTTTTTTTTTTCTTTCTCGCCCGAGACTCGTCACGACTAAGCTCCGCGATATCAACCACGAATTCCTCGCACGAGATTTACATCGTCCACGTTGAAATTATACGCGAAATTAACGTATCATGTGATACGTTGATCGAGCTAGCTACCTTATCAAACTTGTATTTTTCCACTCTCCTTTCTATTTTACACACGCACGATCCTTTATTATCCTCTTCCTCTAATTGCGTTTTAAAAATAAAACTAGTTTCCTTTACAACATTCTTTACAACGATAAGGTTAACGAGACAGAGATAATAAGCGGTAAAAGATGAATGATGCGGAAAAAGAGCAAGGTTCGAGGCCTTTCCGCCCATTTTACGAGATTAAAGTCACACGTTGAACACGAAGAAGCTTTGAATATCGTGCCAACGGTCTCAACCGTAACGTCACTTCCTGATCGTAGAAATGGCTTCTAACCCATTTTACGAGGAAAGAAGCCAGGTCGAGCCTCTATCAGCTGTCCATCTGGTTGGCGTGTCGTGACCTTTCGCATCCTTCTGCATACTCTATCGTAGAGAATAACAAATGGAACTTACGTTACGAGATTGATAGAGCATCGCTCCTCTTACTCGATATCGGAGTAATAAGATATGGAAAATGGACAAATGCGATCGATCTATTAACTTTTAATTCGAATTTTTAATCTAACTTAACGCTCGATTATACTTCTCCAAACTTCTCATATTTTTCGCTTTTGCTTTTTCACTGTAATGTATATTCTTGTATTATGTACATATCTACACGTTCTTGTACGTTGTTGATATTATCGATTAAACTCATAGTTTGCTCGCTCTTCCTTTTAAATTTGCAATTTTATCTCGATACAATTCGTTGGTTGCGGTATATCAGTGTGTACAGTGTGTACAAAGTGAAAGCGATTTTTAAAATTTTAACTTTTCATCGAATTAATTTTAAACGAGTCTTAAATAATAATACAAAAACGTTATTAATCTTTAGGAAAAGATTCATAGGAAAGTTCCATCGTGAAGTTCAGTGAAGAAATAGGATATTTTGAATGTTTGTCGTGTATGAAGTTGCATTCGTAAATCTTCGATAAATGTTACAGATAAGAAAAATACGATCGAAGTACGGAAATAAGCCATTCGAGAAGAAATGTGATGAAATTACACAGCAAGGAAAGAGTCAAAATGGCTGACATTTGCAAAACTACTTACTACTTACAATATATCTATCGAATGTAAATTGTACTTTGCAATTTACTTGCTTATTTTACGAATTACTCGTTATAAATTACTTGTTATAAATTATTTGGTATAAATAATATAGGACAAGGCTGAATTTATCGAGAAACAAAAAACAAAGAATAAAAAATTAGGATAATACTCGGTAAACGGTCAATGATGATAATAATGTAATAATGTAAATTGAATTGATATAAAAACATAATAAATAATTTGATTTCTAATCAATTTGTATTTAAATATTACCTTGAAAACCTTGAAATTGAAAACGTTTTCATACTTTATGCAAATCCATTTACTATCGACTAAACAAGCGTTTATTCATGAAGAAGAAATCAATTTATCCTTCCCGTTTATTTTATTAACTTCACCTTGAGATTCTCTATTATTCGGATTTATGATTTTCACGACCCGATAATAAACGAAAATTTCAGGATATCGCATATCGTAGAAGATGTATCTTTTTCAACCAACGACACAACAAGCGAGACAATATTTCGCAATAGTAATTAGATTATTTACAATTCTTGGTAAAAAATTTATGTTTATAGACAGAAGCAGACAATTCGAGAGACGAGATGAGCAAGATCTATAAGAAATATTTCTTCACCTCACGTCACTTTCCTTAACGTCATCATTATCACGGAGTGAAGTTAAAAAGGACGTCATCCGAGGTGAACGAGAACATTGCTCTACCAATGAAAATAGCCTCCAAATTGGTAGCTAACTCTATAATCGCGTGTGCACCAGTCTATCTGGATTACAATCGGCTCGACCGAATTCATAAATGCCAAATCTTCGCTATCCGATTCTTGAGGAATATATATATATATATAGCCTTGTTCAAATTGTATATAATTATATAATTTTTCGTTAATTGTCCTCTGATAAAGTGGAATTTTCGAGAAATTATTTCACAATAATCTATTAGAAAATTAATATTGTCCAACTATTTTTATATTTTCTAATTTTTACTTTTCTTTGAAAAAAAGATGAAAAAAATAAAAACTTTTTTACGTCATTATGTATTTTCACGACGAATTTAACGATTTAAATATAATTTTAACTCCTTTGAGATCATTTTCAAGATTTTGCAAACAAAATTTTTCCTTTTCTTTTTCCACCATATCATTTATCATCGAAAATTGCATAGAAATATATATAATTTTATCAATTGTGTCATATTTTTATCAGTGGACTTTAGATCAATTTCGAAACATTAATTCGTTAATATATTTATATATTTATATATTATAAATATATTTATATATTTATATATTTAATATATTTATAATATATATTTTATTAATTTTATTGACAAAATAATTTTACGAATAATGGTCATAGAATATATATTATTTATCTAATTCAAATTCTCATTCGCGTCATCAATATAAATTTAACGATATTATCAAATGGAACGAATCAAATATTATCGTGTAAAATGTTATCATAAAAAGGAAAGATTAAATTACACTAATAAATTACTTTTCTGGATCAGCTCGATTCGATGTAAATTTCATCAAAATGAAAAAGGTTTTGCGAACGATAATATGTTTTCGATTCACAAATTATAAAGTTACATATCAATTGGTAAAAATTGGAAAACAGTGAAGATAGATAGGAAATCTTGGATAAACGAATTTCATCGTCGATTTTTACTCATTCATCGCAGAGAATGATCGATGCGAATCGAAGAAGACATTCTTCAAATTTGCGAAACTCAAAGGTTAAACTATCAAAAACGATATATATCGATAGAAAACTATATACGAAAAAAAGTACAAGGATTCAAGCATTCAAATGAAAAAAAAATATAATATATATATTTGTAAAATAAAAAAAAGAAAGAAAGCATTCGCGTATAAAACTTTAAAAGAAATATACAAATGAAGATATTTCAAGCGTAAAATCTCATCAAATATATATCTTCTAGGAGAAATATTTGTTTCAAATGAATTACGATGCAGATATATTTTATCACATTTTGCAATCGTAAAAATCGTAATTTAAAAGAAGCGATATGCGAGCAGTCGAAAAGTAATAGTGAGCATACATATACTTTACCGCATTTTATGTGTTGTTTAAAAAAACTACCAGTTAAAGCTTCAACCCTTTGTTTTGTTGTATTCTCGAAAATCTTCACGTGTCAAAGTTGCCTAGCATTGTATTTGGAACGGTGCATTCTTTACACACAATATTCCTTTTACACACTGCATCTTTTACTCGAATGTAATCGCATGACCATCGTTACAATCCAGATAACATTCTCCAAGATTTTCGCAGTTCAAGATCTGAAAGAAAAATTTAGTAATCAGAAATATTTTTATTGGCTTACATATCACTTTTTTCCAAGAAACGCGTATTACACAATTTCTCTTGATATTATAAACGTATTATGCGATTTCAAATAAACTACAAAGTTAAAAAATTAAATAACAAAAATTGATGATCATTGCTCATTTTCAGAATAGCAGAGAAATATCTAATTTAGCATCTTTGGCTGTTGTTATATATTGTTATATACGTATCTATTCCTATACTATGGATTGTTATCCGTTTTTTCGTTTTCTTTCTTTTTTATTTTTTTACGTTTTTTCACCGATAATTTAATCCGATGAAACATTTAATTGCGATTCCAACTTCCGTTATCATACCATGCCAATTACCGTTTTAATGACGTTTCAAAAATGGTAGGTTTTGTTTTTGAATTATTATTCATTTGTCATATTCATTAATATAATATTCGATAAAAACAAAAATTACTAAAATTATTATAAAATTGCTATAAAATTATTCGCGCCTCGAACATGTCTATCATATTGCGCGTAAAATATTTAAAATATTGTTGTATAATTTTTAATACGTATCGGCAAAGATATTGGATCGTATTGATTACAAATTCCCTTTTATTTATTTTTTCTTTTTTTTCTTTTCGAGGAAATGTATGTTCGAAGAAAGAAGCAATCAAACAGGTTTCTTTGTTGATATTAACAAGCATAGAATGATTGTGCGCGACCCGAGAAAGATATAGTTTGACCTGTGAACATTTTTCTCTAACATGAAATTCGTGGTAGGAGAATAACTTTTATCGTAAATTTTATTTCTCTTTTCATTAAACTTTGCCAGGTCAAGGTTAATTTGTATTTTTATGTTTACCATTTAACGTTTTTCCTTCCTCAATGGTTAGTTTCTAACTGATCGTTCATCATGAAGGAAGTCGGGATCTGTAGAGTCAATAAGGGTGAGTTTATTTTATGCGTATATATATATATATATATATATGTAGGTATAAATTTCCTATTACGCAAAACGTAATATTTTATATGTTCCGTGTTTCTGTTTTCTTTTTAAATAATTCTCATTTCCATTTTTAAAAAATGAAAATATTTATAAAAAATTATTAGAATATCTTGAAACATTTAACTTTGAACTATTTTGAAGCAGTCATAAATGTGTATATAAACGTAATAATAATGGAAATAGGAGAATCTAAATCGAACATTTAAGATGATTTTAGATCGGGATTTAAAATTTTCATTTCAACTGTTCAAGTGAAAATTTGAAAGAAAAAAAAAAATATAACGTTATTCTTCATCAAAAGTGTAAAATTATAAAGACTTTTTTCTGAATGAGTTATTTATAAAATGAACGTGTAAAAATAGCGATGAATATTATTATATAGTTAATTATTAAATAGTTTGAACTGAAATAGAATAATTCGATCGATTTTATTTCGGTTATCGTAGAATTCATAAGCATGGAAGAAGGACTTGTCGAGAATGGGAAAACTTCATGCATGAAATATATTGAAACGAACAATACTTTAAAACGAATAATAGAATGCGTGAAATTAATTCTCTTATTGGAAATATTGTTCTGCATTGGATGGGGTTGTTACACAATGTGGGAAAATTGTCATATCGAATCGATGGAAGTCAACGCCATAAATAATATTCCAAAAACAGAATTGGAAAATCTATTTAGTTTTACGCGTGATAAATATATAATAAACGAGACTGAACAACTCAATAAATCGAACGATATTTCAACGAAAAATATCTTAAAACTGACGGAAATTTCAAACATCGATAACGAAACCGATGCGAATATCAATGCAGCGGAAGATAATTTGCAAAACGTGGAAGATGGCTTATTGGTAATAAATAACGATAAGAAGAGCGTATTAGAAGATGAATCTTTCGTTGCGATCGAGAATGATAATTTAAATTCAACGGAAAAGGAATTTAAAGAAAATTTAAAAATCGACGAATCGACAAAATATGATAAAGATTCATCGGATTCGTGGACGTACGAATCGTCGGAAAGAAGCGAGAAAGAAATACGACACGACGCACAAAGGAATTTAGAAATTTATTCGATTTTCTCGTTGATCTTTGAAAATGCTATGAGAAATATATCGGTCTCGGACAATTCTACTACCGAGGACAATCACAAGTTGCAAGATTTTAAGGTATCTATCGAATGGTTGAACAAAGAATTTACAGACGAAAATAGAGAAATTTTTACATCGGAATCGCACATGGATGTTGATAATACGGGAGAAAAGTCGGAAGAAAGGATAATTTTCGTCGAAAATCCTAACGATAACAAAGATGTAAATCAAAACGAAACGAACGATGAATGGGATCGACAACAAATAGTTTCCGATATAATGGAAAGCGACTATGATGATACGAACGAAGAAAAAAATAGTTCGGATAGTATAAATATTTCAGATTTATCCAATTATCATATATATCTTCCGGATTATATATATAATATATATTAGATTATCAACACGTAAAAAAGATTTTCACCGAGATTTAAATATTCCCTTGTAAAAAAGATAGATGATTTCGGTAGGTATCTTTATGGACACATTTTATAAACATTATAAAAATTGAAAATTATAATATATCTTTTATTATGTAATTATAGATTGAGAACACCTAGAAATATTCTTATTACGTCTGTATAAATAAAGACCATATGGAGATACATCTGGACGACAAAGAAGAAAAATACGACCGTTAAACATCGTACTTGGTGTATGTAAATACGAAAAGATGAATTTAATTATAAATATATAACTTTAAAATTATCGAGAATACATAAAGCAGTGAGCAATAAATATGAAATGAAGAAAGAATAACTTGTACGGTTATTATTATTGTATGTATTTACGACTATACTGCGAATGAAATCTTTTTTCATTTGTAACGAAGAATCATCTTTCCGATGAAAAATTATTTCCGTTAAAAAATTTCTATAAGATACAGGCGATATTTTTATGCCATGTATTTTTCTATTATACGCATACGTTATTAAGAATTATTATATATCGTGTTGTAAAAAAATGATTACGATTTTAAGGAATCATTGATAAAAAAATAAAACGATAGGTACAATTAAAAGAACATCAAAAAAGATTTGAAAAAAGCGATCGAATATTAACTTATTTCCATTCGTATTTTATAATTGATCATGTAATTCAAATAATTTATTATATGCACAATAAAATATTGTAAAAAAAAAAAGAAATATTTATTTCTTCAATATGGAGTCAGTATGGATTAATTTTATTTATCCTATATATGTATCATACTTTGAACATATTTATAAAGATTACAAGCGAAGATTGACAAACTCGTGTCATAGAAAAATTAATGCATCATTGGCACTGCGCATGGGCCTTGAACTTATTTATGCTAATATATAACGATTTACACTATATAGTGTGATAACGTTTCCATTCGTCAACTAATACTAACTAATAGGCAATTACAATTAGTCGGTCTGTGATTATAAACTCGTGAAGTAGGTCACTCTTACCATGTTTTCAAAGAAGATTTTTATCAGAGAACGCACATAACCCTTATAACTTTTTACGATATGCTATAAATTGAATAGCTACTTTTGCCAGGGATATCTAAATTCGCCCATTAAATAATTCCCATTTTCTTAATTTTTTATTATACGATCATAACGAGTTTCTAACTTATTCGTTCTAATAAGTATGTTACAAAATAATAATGATAGTTACGGAAATAAAATATCTAATAAATATTTTGAAAAAAATTAGACAACAAAACAATTTATAAATTAAATAAAATTTAAATTATAAATTAATTAGATTTCGAGTATTATATTAGTATTATATTATATAGTATTATATTAACAAGGCTTGGAAATTATAGTTCGTTAATGATTTTGCTATTTTTATAAATTTCAAAGGTTAACATATTCTTTAAAACGCGATATGCGACAGCTAGAGGCATGCGAGAACCCGAAAATGTTGAATCGAAAACGCGCGAAGAATTCATCTCAGGATCAGCTTCTTCAAAATACCTTCTCGTGATTATTCTTTTAATTTTGTGGACGAGTGTAGTCCCAAAATCTTATTCAATTCATCAAATTTCTGATATTTTCAAAAATCTCAAAGTTCTCTTTGAAATCCCGAAATATTCGAACTACGAGATACTTTCTAAACTTTTTTCCAAATTCGTTGCAAGTATCGAGTTTCCAATATTTTCGACTTTTCGCGTATCTCTACTAACGAATAAAAGAGTAGAGTTTTGTACATTTGTACAAGGAAGAGGCTTTTTAGTTGACTTCAAAATAATGAATCATGCTTGTGCTACTAAAATAATGAAATTTTTGAAACGACAATTATAATTGCAATTGAAAAGAAATTTTGTTCGATAAAAAGTTAAAAAATAATAACTGTCTATCGTATTTGTTACTGTTAGTTATTTAGTTTCATTCATGCTGTAAGTTAATACGCAATAATTATTTCACTTTTTTATTTTGATAAATATCCGAACTTGAAAGATAATTCCATCAAATTTTAATATACGTGTATTAGTATCATTAATACAACGATATAAATTAGATTGAAATCAATTTTCTTATACATGTCCAAATAGGTAGTAGGTAATTGTTATTTTAAAACCGTACATGTTCAATAAGACGAACGAACGAAGCACGTGAATATTCACGATCTACTTTCCTTAATTTCTTTTTCTTTCCTCGAACGGACGAGAAAAATCCTACTGTTACGAAATCTTCGTGATATGTCGACAGTTTGTTTGTAATTGATGCGTCAAGCTAATACGATAAACCTAGCGTGCAGGAAGATACTCTTCTGTAAATTTAAACTATAATATAGTGGAAACAACGATATAAATTTCTCAGCTTTCGTATACGTGTTTTTACGTGATTATATTTGTACATCAATCTTATCGATGTACGTATTCATACAATTATAAATTATGTATGTAAACGAGTCGAGTATAATTGTATGTAAAGAAAACAAAATGCTTCATCATTTCGAATAAATTTTATAAAGTTTATAATTTTATTAACTATTTAAACGACAATTACATATCGGATTTAATGCATAAAGATTACGCAGAAAATTTTAAAATTTTCACGTACACGATTGTTGAAGTAAAATTTCCGAAATTCTTTGCGAACGAGCAATTCATCAACACGTGTTTCATGAATTTATCAAATTGGCAAACTGGGCGAGATACTCGGGTACTCATTTCAAGTCGAAATGTTGGTACCTTATTTCTAGTAAAAAAGTTTAAATGCATTATAAATCGATACGATAAACATGAAAGACGATCATTGTGACGAGATAACAACGCGTACGCAAAAAGCAAAAGCACGTTCTTCGAAAATTACTTCATAAAATATTGGTAAATTAATTACGTGTTCAAACATATATGATACATATATGTTTTTATTAACAGGTTTTTAACAACTTTTTAATTATTAAATATATCGCATATTTTAAACGTAATTTAATCATATTTTTTCAAAAATTAGTTCTCTATCTAAATAATTTGTATTCGGTGAAACTTGATTTTCCAATAGATAGCAGAGTTGTTTGACCGTTAAAGTTTCGTGACTATGTAAAACGAAACACGATTTTTCGTGCACGAGTTATTTGGAATAGCGATGAACTTTGTGATTTTTTTTCCCGTTCATCATGTACAGTTTGATTAAATTAAACTTTATTATAGATTATTCGAATAATATTTGTCAAATACAATAAATTATTCTATCCATTAGTTTTGTAATAAAGATATATTATTTTCCGTTTTGGAAAAAGAAAAAAAGAAGACGTATCAATTACGTGAGTTTTATATAAAATGATTTCACGGTTACTGGAATTACATATCATTTTGATCAGAGAAATTCGACGAAAAATTCGACGATTTAGCTGGAAAAAATTTAATCGAAACGATATCGACTGGACACAGCATTGGAAAAATAATACGAAATCAGTTTTTGAAAAATATTATTAAATTTTTAAGCTTATTTATTCGAAGATAACAACGAAAAAAATACGTATAAAAGATAAATTCGTTACTTTAAACTAACTCTTGAATATTTTGCATTTATTACCTAATCTTGATTGAAACATCGAATATAAAATTATGATGACAATATTAAAAATATTTTTCACAAATACGTACAAATGTAACAATGTAAATATTTTAAGGGATAAAGCTATTTTGAAGGAATGATGATGAGATTAGATTTACAATGGCTAAGAAAGTAGTTTTATTCGCTTAAGAAATTAATAAATCGATATCGAATTGTATTTAATTTTAATCAGATTTTAATTTAATTGCTCTTTCTCGTATGAATGATGATATACATTTAAAAGTATCTTTTAAATATAGAAATGTAGGAAATATTTGTAAAAAAAAATATTTTTATTCAAAAAATTGTACGATATAATTGTTTCGCAAAAGCGTGAAAATAAAATATGGCGTGACAATGTTAAAGTTAAGATACTTTGTTCCAGCACGGAACTGTTTTTTCCGAGCAGAACTCCTACTACGATCGAAACTTAAAGCAACTGTTTTAAACAGTGTTCGAACTCTTTCTTCGAGGAGGTGGTAAGCAACTACGTTTTGGTGTAGAATACTTTCTGCTTTGGTGGCAGCACATAGGATACACAGGGTGGGGGTGTACTAAAGGCTTAAAAGGCTCTCCAACGTCCTTGTAACACGCAGTTCTAGAATAGAACATAATAGTATTCCCTTCAAATAAAAATTAGTGCAAATTTTTCTTCGGCATCTTCTAGATTAGTATTTAATCGCTTGTAACGTTACCGATAATCATATTATTAATTTAAATATTAATATAAATATAGTGCAAATACATCGAAATATATAATATAAAAACTCGTGAGAAGAAACTTTTTCTTTGCAACGCAAAGAAAATCGGGATTGATACTTTTTGAAATGAAGAAAAGCGAGTGATTTTCATTTCGAAATTTTATCGCTTAATTTTATATCTGGATACAGTGATCGATGAATCAACTGTGCGGTTAATCTCTTCCGATCTTCACCGATTTTAAATATATATCGTAGTTGGCAACAAGTAGAAAATGAAGAAGACGAGAAGTTTTCAAATGTTTGCAACGTTTCTTTTATTGGTGTTCTTCGTATCGCCATCTTCTACTTGGGCCCTTACGACTTTCGGCAAAACCAACCCTCAAACCTCGAATCAAAATTCTCATCCATCGCCTACACCAGGTTTGTCCGATTCCTATTTTCAAAAGTTCGTCACATCGTGTCCGTAATTTACGATCTTCGGGTTTCGGATTCATTGATCGTTATTAATTTTTATCACGCGTTCTCGTATTATCGAATAAAACAAGATTATGCGACAACAAATTTTGATTAATGCTGACGATCACGTAAATTTAGTTGGAAGAGCTCGGGAATGTAAGTTGGAGTCTGATTGCGCTGGAATTCAAAATACGACATGTATAGCGGATCCTCGAGACGGAAGGACACGTTGCCTTTGCGGAGATTATTCCGCACCTCTTAACGGCGCGTGTATTAACAAATTCAAAGGTAATAATTTTAAATATAATTTTAACAACATTTTTATGCCAAATATATATAATTTAAATAGTTATATTTATATATAAATTTCGATATATCGATCGAAGATTGAGTATCGGAGTGTATTTGGAAAAAATATCGAATATAATCTTTATTTTTGAAGAAACAAATTGAACAGAACATAAGAAACTGTACTATCATTTGCATATGCTCTCGTGTTCTATTGCAATATGTATTGGTACCAGCACTGTGGTTATTTATGCAAATTGAAAACCTTTGTGAATATCATTGCAGTTTACCATATACACCACTACCAATTTGATTTTACTTACATACGCAACATTCGTTATTTAACAGTGCAAACATGAAAATAGGCACATCACTTTTAAAAATGCAAATATAGTTAAATATTCTCGTCAATTGAAAAAACAAAAATAATTTGAAAATTTTGATTACTTAAGTTAAAAATAATTGATATAATTCTGTTAAGAATTTTAGACGATATCAGATAAAATTGTCACGTAATTTTGTTACAAAGGTTAAAAATTGATCGATGTTGAGAATATTATGTATTATATTTGTGTGAAATTGCGTGTTACCATCGAGTTAAAACGCGTTGAGCTTTTATGGCAATTTGATACGGTATATTTGGTATATAACGATGTATATATATATATTAAGAACAGATATAAATTTGATTTTAACCGGCAAGCATACAAGATTTGATTTCCAAAATAATAATATTATATAAAACATAAAAGATAATTTTATCTAATATGCGTATGTAATTTGTACAATAACTTTTTTAATAATTTAAATAAAAATTTTAAATTTAATTATATTTGTAAAAGCTTGTAAAATTAAATTTGAAATGACATTTGTATATTTTTTTCTTTGATAAAGAAGAAGTGAAAATTTTAATCTTCGAATTGTTTTCGTCGTATTCTTAAAGTATTTTATATTAAAAAAATATATTTCTGTTGTAGCGTTACATTTTTCATGTAACAATGATTCTGAATGCATTAATGGGGCACATTGCGTACAACTAAACGTTACCTTGGGAAAACGCTGCTATTGTCAAGAAGGATATTATGAAGAAAATCCTTTAGTTTGCAGTGGTATGTCATTTTTTTGTTTGATTTTTTATTGCAACCAAGTTCTAAATTTATCTTTTAATTTTTTTATATAATAATTTTTTTTTTAATATAAATAAATTTAAATAAGTTTAAATACACAAGTATATCATATATGTGAATAGAAGTTTTTAATTACGATTTAAATATTTTTTTCACAGGTGGTATATCTGTTCTTGCATTTCACACGCTATATCTCTTAATTAGTTTAATTATTGTAAAACGTAATTTTAGTTTTATATAAATCATTTACAATTGAAATATATTATTTTAAATGAATGTAAAAAAATTGTATTAATTTTAAAATTACGTATGGTAAATTTTCAATCATCAAAAAATATGATATTGTACAAAAAAAAAAAATATATGTTTGGTATATTTACGCGAAGATACGTATTTTAATTATCATTTTAAAAATATTAAGAAAGCATATGCTCGAGCTATGCGCAAAAAATATAATTCGATAGCTTTTCATATTTTCTATATCTCCAAATTCTAATCAATTACCAAAAATATCTATAATCTAATTTGTCTAATTTTTTCAAACTTGCAATTTTTTTTATTTCATAATAATGTGATTTCTTTTGTAATGTATAAATAATTGCAATTTATACTGCTCTATATGATAAAAAAACTGTAAAAAAAAAAACTGAAAATTAGTATATTTGTTCTAGATAATTTTAAATTATATATTTTATTCTACAGCAAAGAATTTAATGTACCGTCAAATTGTCTATTCTGAAACTGACGTAATTAAAATGTTACTTCGTAATTCATATACGAATATAAATATTATATATAACGAAACTTTTACGAATAATTTTCTTTTAAAATATTGTAATAGGATCTTGTAAAATATTTCCGTACACTTTATCGTAATTTTAATCTGTAATTTATATTATACATTTTATTATTGATTCTTATGTTTCTAAATATTTATATGAATTATAATATTTACGACTTTACAATAAGTAATAGATCATTATAAAATAATAGAAAATCCATAAAACATCTATTCTAGATCTGTTCAATATATTTCAAATATTATAAATAATATTATAAAGAATTTTAAAATCCATATTTCAAATTTTATCAATCAATTTCCAATTATAGTAAAAAAATATTAATTTAAAAAATTAATGAAATTTTATAAAATATTAAAATATGCATATTATAATTCTATACAATTTCATTTGAACTGAAAATTATATTAGAAACTTTTACAATGTACATAATTATATATATAATTATATCATACTTGTTATGTTATTTAGATTATTGTTGTTATATCAATTATTTTTTCTTTTTTTGTTTATCAATATTTGTATCTGTAACTCTTATAAAATTGAAATTATAAAATACATGTAAAATTTTAATATCATTTTGATTTTGATACTATTTATTATAGTTAGCATTATAGTTTTATCAAGTAGAATAAAATATGTATGATTTTTTGAATTTTCAATTTAGCAAGCTTTATAAATTGAAATTGTCTATTCGTTTAGCAAATATATATATATATATAGCATAATGTAACTAGATATAGATATAGATATACATATATATATATAAAATTTGAACATGCCAATAAATGCCTTAAATACAAACGATTATATGAAATAAATTATAATTTATGTTAATGAGAATTTTTTAAAACATGATTTAACAACATTTATTTTGATTATAATGCATAATATTTTATAATATTTGTAAATTGATAATAGTATAATTTTTAACTTATTTTTATTTTTGAACTATATTATGTAAACGTATTATTAATATAAATATATTATGCACGAATAAACTTTTCCGTATTCTAAATACATATACTATATATTTATTATATATTATGTATATTTCTTAATATTAATTATAGATTATACATAAGTCAATTATTAAAAGGAAAGTAAAGAGAAAACTTCATACATATATTTTGTTAATCGAATCTTTTATTATTTCTTTTGTAAAACTAATTGCGTTACAGTGTTTCCGCTCTGTCCACCAAAAATAAATGTATCTGCGGGAAGCACGTGTAAGATATCAAAATCTAAAATATTATAGTTATATTAGTTAGTATTAATGTTATAACAAATATTATTACTAATAAAAATGAATTAAAATAATATATCATATAATAAACATGAATCAATATCAAAATTTGTAGTATGTACAATGTTCTAAATAATAAATTATTCAAAAAAACGCTATTTATTTCTGCACAATATATTTAATAATATTAAATATAATCGAAACATTTTTTTAATTATACGAAAATTTTTATATAAAAAATTTCAAATGTTTTCAATTATATTTTTCAATATATGTAACTTACAATCTTGAAAATGTTTTTGTATTTCTTCTTTAGTCCAATTACATGAAGTTAAAACTAAGTAACCAGAGGGTAATAGAATTTTGTATACATTTTCTATGTATTTTTGTCGTTTCGATGCTGGATCTTCCGGATTTAAACTGATGGCATCATAAGTTCCTTTATCGTGTATTAATTTAAAGTCTGTCGGTAAATTCAAATCTTGAGAATTTAGAATATCGCAAACCTTTAATTCAATATGCGACACATTATTTTCCTTCGATACTTCATGAGCTAAATCAACTGCTTTTTGCGAATAATCTATACCCATCAATTTTTCAAAACCTTGTTTTGCAAGTTCAATCAATGTCATTCCATTTCCACATCCTATGTCAATTATTTTATCATTTTTATTAAGTTTTAATTGCGTATTAATCCAACTGAAATATTAAATATATAAAATATTTTTTAACAAAGAATGTATTCATATATTTATAAAAAAAAGTATTTATATATGTTCACAAAATAAATCGTACCACGTTAATATTATATAACAATTAATAAATTATTAAATATTTTATATAAGATTTTATTAAAATTATTACAAATATTTGTTATATAAAAATGAATTTAAACAAATTTATTTATTTGATTTGAAATATATAATTTGAAGACATTACCTTCTCGGTAACCTCAAGATCATAATAACTAAAATTTACGAAAGATAGCACCACTAGTTTATGTGCAAGTTGCTTGTGTTATACACATCTATCTTTCGCGTTGTTACATAAATTTTTCGCGTATTATCCGAATAACTTACCGTATGACTTTTAGTGTATTGCTTTTACCAAACCATATTTCGCCTATATCTCCGTATTCCCTAAAATTATCAAGTTCTTCCGAGTAAATCCTTTCCCAACTAAAACATAATCGTGTTATAAAGTAATGCTTATCGAGTGTTTCATATTTACGAATACGGTACGTATTACTTACTAATCAAGTGTACCTAAATCCGATGGTCCGAGTTCTTCAATATTTTGATCTGTCATAATTTTATTTTAATTATATTTGAAGATTATAATTGAATTGTTGTGTTATTTATTAAATATATTAAATTTTAGCTTCCTGGTGTATTTTTATTAAATCACTTATTTATACTAAAAATGCCTTTCGAAAATTTTAACACTTGATGCGAAAAGTGTAATCACATCATACGTATGAAACGTTATTAAACTGGCGTAGCGTAACCTCACTTTTGAACCTAACCTATATACATTTGATATATTACATATATTCACTGTATAAGCGTGATTGTGCAGTAATTGTAGTAGCTAAAGTATTTGATATATACTATTATATTCGTTATTTTTTCCAAAAAGTGTTAATTATTGTTAAATATGTTCGGTAGATTGATAAATACACTCCAAATTGGTAAGTAAAAAAATATACTTAATATATTTTATACTTATTATATATATATAGATTTTACAAATATAGAAAAATAGATTTAAAATATAGTTATAGTTTTAATAGTAAACACAGCATATATAAATCATTACAATAATATAAAAAAATATAAAGTCATTTAATAACATTTAATTTATTAATTTTTTTTTGTATAAGATACATTTGATTGTTAAATTTTTACTTTTAGTATTTATATTTTTATCTTAAAAATGCTAAATATATCTTTGTATCCTATTGTTTAGGAAGACAATGTACAAATTTGTCCATTTTATCTTATCGTCATTTCGTTACCACAGTATTTTTAAACCAAATGAATAATATTAAACCAAAGACAGGAATCTTAATGTTAAATATGGGTGGTCCTAGTAAAATTGAAGAGGTGCATGAATATTTATTACGTATAATGACAGATCGTGATATGATTCAACTACCATTTCAAAGGTTTAATTATAAGTTTTAATAATTTATAGAAATCTATTTAGCATTAGATCAAAATTCTATTAGACAATATATATTACAGTCGACTAGGACCTTGGATAGCAAAGTCTCGTACACCTAAAGTACAAAAAAAATATGAAGAAATTGGAGGTAAATCTCCTATTTTAGAATGGACAAATAAACAAGGCAAACTTTTGTGTGAAAAATTGGATAAAATTTCACCAAAAACAGCACCTCATAAACATTATGTTGCATTCCGTTATGCTAATCCTCTTACTGAGAATACACTTCAAAAGATAGAAGAGTAAGGATATTGATTTATTATTGAATAAAAATGAATTTTTAATATAAATATACAATGTAATTGTATATTAATATAAAATGTAACAAATGATCTTTGTTTGAAGAATATGTACATATTTTTATTTTAGAGATGGTGTTGAACATACAATAATTTTTTCTCAATATCCACAATATTGTTGTGCTACAAGTGGATCAAGTTTTATTGAAATATATAAGTATTATAAAAACAGGTAGTTAATTTTAAACTTTTTTTATAATTTTAACACAATAAATAGATTCATATTTACTTATATATATTTATATTCTTAAATGAATGAATATTCTATTAATTTGTATTTTTTTGTTTTTTTAGTATAAAATTTATATAAGTTTAAATTTTCTAATTTATTTGAAAAAATTAATGAAATAATATGAATTATTAAAAATAATTTTTATAATTTTTATATTCTCTAATACAAAAATGTACAAGAATATAAGTATATAACTTTTATTTCAAATAGGATTATTATTCCATAATCTATATCAAAGTGACAGCATATTTCAATAAGACTTATAAGTATTTATTTTTAAAAAATTGATTTCTTTTATACAATTTCTTTAATACATAATTATATTAAATCTTTATTTTTTAAGTCATAAGAATTTTATATTTTATTGACTTTTAAATGATTATTTAATGATAATTTATCTGTATTATGATGTTTGATAACATATTTTGGGCTTTGAATTGATTAATATCGCTATTTCAAAATGTATATACAAAAAAAACTAAACAATGACAATTTTACAAATTTAAAACATTTGTAAACATAGTCATTCATGTAACTTATATTTTGGTCACTGATATTTTGAAAAGAGGTCATATAATTTTTTCTTATCCACATACTATCTAGATCTCTTACAATAAAATATTTCTTTGTATTGTATTTATTATTTCTTTTGTTTTAATTTTTTTTTTTTTAATATTTAAACAAAAGAAATAATATATTTTTTTAATATTTTAATAAATATCTCAATAATTAATCATTTTAATTTTTGAAAAAAAAAATAAAAAATTTTCGATTTTTACGATTTGAATGAAATTATTATTATAATTAAATATTTTATAATTAATTATAATTAATTATTTTAATAATACGAAATAACTCAAAAACATTATAACAATATAACTCAAACATTATAACGTCTCAAGGACATTCATTTTAGATCTCATCTCTTAACATTTTATCTAGATTTTTTAAAAATATTTTACAATGATTAATGATAGAATTACGTTTTATAAAATGTCTGGTACAAAATATTCGAATTTTTATATCGAGAACTTGGAATTCTTGATGAAAGATCTGAGCTTTTTTAGAGTATGTATTACTCTAGATTAAAATACACTCCTCCTTAAATGTATTCATCATTTCCCTCTATCCTGTCCGCTAAGGATTATACTTGAGAGAGAAAATGAGGAAATCAGTTGCCGAAAACCTTTTTTCAGCGACTGTAAAAATAAAGATTATAAAGAATATATGCGTCAGTATATTTTAATTTAAAAAAATCGAGAAACTTGTCCAATATTCTTATAATAATTTTATTATATTATTATTTTAGAAATCCTTTTTCTCAAATCTTTTATAGTATTTTGGTAATAAATGAAAAATGTTAAAAAAATTTGCTGTCATTTTATCATCGCAAACTTTAGTTTATAATTATTCTAATTTAATTTTTTTAATTATATTTGAAACATTGAGATTAAAATGAAAATAAAATAATAATAGTTTTGCTTAGCCCAAAAATGCTATTACACTGCATTCATAATTTACAGACAATTACCTTCTAACATGAAATGGAGTGTAATAGATAGATGGGCAACGCATCCATTATTCATAGAGACAATTACAGAAAGAATTAAGGAAGAATTAGTTCTATTTCCCGACGATATAAGAAGCAATGTTATAATTTTATTTTCAGCTCATTCGCTACCATTGAAGGTTACGTATTAGTACGAAAAATAAATTAATATTTTAATATTAACACGATGATTGTTTCGTATTGTATTTTAGGCTGTATCTAGGGGGGATGCTTATGCATCTGAAGTAGCAGGTACAGTTGCTTTAGTAATGGAAAAGTTACGATATTGTAACCCATACAAACTAGTATGGCAATCAAAGGTATAGACATCTATCGATAAAATGGAAAAAAAAAGTCAATGAAATTATTTTGCATATTTTATTTTCTAAAAAACAGTTTTCTAAATCTTTTTTTCATTACGCGTTAATATTAATTTAATTCCGAATTAAAATTTCTGATTTAATAGATTTTAGATTTTAGAAAAATGCATATCTTTTTTTATTTTTAAATATATAAATATTACGTTATATTAAATATATCGTTTTCTAATTTTTGTACGTTGTGCAGTATATTAATGTGTTGTATTTAGGTTGGCCCAGTATCTTGGTTGGAACCTTTTACCGATGATGCCATAAAAGCTTATGTAAAGCAAGGGAAAAAACATTTTATATTAGTACCAGTAGCATTTGTTAACGAACATATTGAAACTCTTCATGAATTAGATATCGAATATTGTAAAGAATTAGCAGAAGAAGTAAGTGTCGTGTTATATAATCCGTAAATAATTACGAAGAAAAATTTTTTATCTTTTTTTATCTTTAGCTCGGCATTGATAAAATAAGGAGAACTGCTGCTCCTAATGATCATCCTACATTTATAAATGCTTTGGCAGATATTGTAGTTTCTCATCTTAAATCAAATAATTCTCTAAGTCCCATGTTCTTGACACGTTGTCCTCATTGTGTTAGTGGCAATTGTGCAGAAAGCAAAAAGTGGTATGCACAAATATGTAGAAATTAAAACAAGGATACACTGTAAAAAATTTATGCATATTATTTATTTACAACAGATAGATATTTTTTATAATATAAACGAAAAATATCTACTTTTGTGATTCATTTTGTATGATATAACGTGTTTTAAATAAAACATTCTTATTTCTTTATGAATGAGTGTTGATTTTTTTTTTCCTATTACACACTTATTTTAATTATAAAAATTATCACGTTTCACATTTTAATATTTTAATTATTATTATTTTTTTATCATTAACATTATATTTAAATTTATTTTATAAATTATGTATTTGAATTTCTCGTTTAATCGACATATAAAAATATCATATTAATTTTTGTATGAAATTACATTGTAAAAATGATACAAAATGTAAGGAAATATAATACTTCATGATAAATAAATAAATAAACACATGATGAAATTTTTAAATTACAATCTAATGAGATATCATTATACTCTGCTATAAAAAATTAAAACCGCTAAAAAAATGATATAAATACTGTTAAAAAGAAATATAGGAGAGAATGATAATTTGATAACATTTATGAGAGTAACCGTTCGATTTCTTTACAGGTTACTCCCGAGGGGGTTATCGCGGCGACAGCAGAGAGCGTCTGCCGCGCTCTAGGTATCGAACGTGAGTGGCGCGGTGCTGGGTACCGCGACGCTTATATAAATGCGCGAAGTCGGCAAGAGCGCTCAGTATGTGTCATGCTTTGCGAGCGCGAGCGTCGTCCGTGATGGCGGCTCGAGTGCGGTTGAAGATGCAATGCGGCACCGTCGTATTGCTACTCGTTGTCATCATCGTGGTGTGTGGTGTGGATTTTGTGTGTGGAATGTTCGAGCATCGTCACTGCAATCATCAGCATCCTCGGGCACACGAGGTAACCGTTACAAAAGAACTATTCTCCTCTTTCTCTTTCTCTTTCTCTTTCTCTTTCTCTTTCTCTTCTCACTCACTCTTACTCTCTTTCACCTTTGTTGTCCGCATTCGCTTTCCAGACGCACACCAACCAAGCAACTGGATTGCTAGTGCTACTTCCCTTTTATCATTTCTTCTCACCGATATTCACCGTCCTCTTTTCTTTCCTTTCATTCGTTCCATAATTTTTTCTTTTTTATTTCATTAAATTGGAGTTACTTTTCGTTTCTGTGGGGATGAAATCGCGTGATTTCAACGAAACGTGCGTTTCACGTGTCACGTGCTCATGCTGTCTTTCTTACACACTTGTATCTCGCGTGCGTTCCACTTTACCTTGAACCAATAAGCATTGAGTCTCCAACTCCAACTCTCTACTATTCGCTAGATTGATTACAGCTTTAAATGTTACGTATTATCTTATTGTTAAATATTTCTATCTATGTCGTTGTATCTTTGATATTTCTTTTATGCGTATGTTTTTTATACGATTTTTAATACGATAAACGTTCGTTTTAAAAAGTTCAAGGTCTCGATGCTGGGAGTAGTCGTCGTTATCGATATTTTTCTCATGTGTATGCATATAAATTTATATCGGATGTAAAAATGTGCAAATATATGTGATTATTGACTTTTGTAATGCTAACTTATTTCCGAAGTGATTTCTTTTAATATCATTTTTGACGAATTTAAATGTATCGTGGTGAAGTGTTCCTTATAATATGTGTACTTACCGTAGAACTGTGATTTTAATCGTGTGAAGAGAAAGATATTCGTGAACTTGTTTTCATACATCAGTGAACCACGTGTTTTGAGAACGAACACGTGCCCTTGTCTTTAATCGTACGAGTTTTTACCATTTACGCTCCGTTTCGCTTCTACGTAAGTGATTGCATTTTTTATTTTATCAAAGTTTCATCGATATTTTTTAAATCAATGCAATTAATTTTTATCTTTAGAAAAGAATCAAATATTTGAAAAATCTGCTTTATTTTCATTAGTTATAATAAACTTTTCAATATTTGTATTGTAATTCGTGTCTATAAAAAAATTAAAATCAACATGAGAAAAATCGTGAAATTTAAGGAATTAATGAAACAAATAATAATAACGATATTAGCAATGCGACAGAAATATTATATTATAATTATAAGAAAGAAAAAATATAATAATATATATATATTCTATTTCTTATAATCGTCAGATTCTTATTTGCATAATTGATCGGTCAATTCTTCTTCCTCATATCAATATTTATTAATTTTATTCAATAATTCTACAAAATGATCATCATATGCATCTACATGATAACATTAAATTATTCTTTTTGAAAATATTTGAATTCTTGCTTTAAATTTTTTTAAACAATAAATCGTTTCCAAAATATTTAAATAATCTACTTTATACTCGATATATATTTACGTTGCATATATGTGTTATATCCGTATAAATATCAAATATAATTATAACAAACGATAAGACGAATAATAGTAACGCGTTCGTATCGTTAACCAAAAATTGCTTTTGTAGGGACTCGAAAAGTTTCAGTCCTTTGGTAGACGAATGAAAATAAATGGTCGACTGCTTCGCGCGAAACATTCTTTCGTCTTTTTCTTTCTGTCTCCCTCTCGTCATTCGTCTTTTCTTTCTTTTTAAGCCTGCTTTTTATCCGCTCAACTTTTGCGCCTCTAGGGATCGCACGAATTGCATAGCCATGCATATTCGAAACTTTTCTACGGCTTTCTGCCGGTACGCTAACTTCAACCCTTCCTTTCGTTAATAAAGAACGGTCCATTTGGGATACGCTATCGTTCCTAAAAATAAACCGCAATTTTTCATTTTTCTATAATTTACATCCAACATATTTTTATTATTTACTGTCAAATTAGAAATTCATTTTTATTCCGCGATATCTTTATCTATTATATAATCTGTATTGAAATTAAAAGAAAAATATTGATAAAACAAAAAATTTATTCTACTATATATATACACGGAACTAAGATATTTATATTATATTTTATTTCACTTTGTAACACTTTCAAAAAAAATACCTATTTACATCAAAGAATATAAGCCAAATTCAAATAATCATTCCACAGCGTCTCTGTCTTCTTTAATAACTTCTTGATTGCATAAGTGGTACTACGTGATACGTATAGTAAAAGTACGTGATATGTATAGTAAAAAATAGACGTACGTTTCGAGTTTAAAAGTATTTAAATTATTTCGTTATAAGATAGTTTTAAAATAATTTTTTCATTCTTCAAAACTTTTTTATTTTAGAGAGGCTATCTTAGAGATTAATTTACGAGAAATTACGAATCTCTATATCCGTATATTTGTATTATCAATTTTATTTCCAAAGATATTATTTATGGTACATAACTTATTACATTTGATAATTTATTGTTTGATCAAATATCATTGACCAACTAAGAGACAATTAATCAGTGATGTTATACATTTAATAGATATATACGTATAGATTTTCATAACACGGTTGATTAAATTTTTGTATTTGTCATATTTATTCGTGTGCAGATATCGATCAAATAAAATTATTAACGAAGGATGCGGCCAATCAATAGCACGGTATCGGCATTCGTTTGCATCGTCGCGCAAAGCAAGCGTTTATCGGTTCATTATGAGTTTAATTATCAAATGAATTTCATGCAAAAAATTGATATATTATAGAAGATACAAATGATATCCACGATTGTATTTGATTTCTTAACAACATTATATATTGATATTTTTGTTCTTTCTGAAAAAAAAAAACATTGCCGATAATCAAATCAATAATTGCAAGAAATCTCGATTATCGCGATGCTTCCACTCGAATTCTTGTTCGCTTATTCACAAGTTTGTCATAGTTTTCACTGAAAACGTTCCGAATTAATCACAAGGGATTGTTTGAACAGACAATGGTAGTCATAGTAAACTCGAAGCGGATTGAATAGAGTCCAGAGGAGAGGACCAGGAAGGTTTCGTCGAGCAATGCCACTGTACTAATTAGTGGCACGTTGTCCTAGACAAATGCAACATTCCATCTTTACATCTTCGTGATGTAATTATAAATACTAAATAAATATACACGTTTCGTTTCGTTTCCATTCATTTAACGATTTAATATATTATTCTACGTAAATTTATCGAACAGAAGAAAATCCAATTTAACCTACTATATTAGACGAACGAGTTAATTTTTGTATCAATCGTGAAAATTGATCGGTTTCGTTCGTAGGAATATTTATCGATCGAAAAGACGAATTTGCCTATTATTATCTAACGGTAACTTTGCGATCGGATAAACACTCGTAAAAGTTTTATTCGTCGTGTTTAGCGCGTTACAAAATTGATTCAGGTATTGGAAAAGGAATGCTTTATTCGCTCACGAACGAAGCGCGAAAGATTTTCGAAGGTAGATCGTACACGATCAAAGAAAATTCGAAGCGAAGTGGTCATAGATGTAAACCAATTTGGTTTGGCTTTACGTCAGTCTCGTTCTTTGCTAAAAGTTTCTCGGTATACGGGGCGGAAGACTCGGTGTAAGCGGCGTACAATGAACGAACAGGCTTTCGATTCAAATATATCTACTTATTTACGTACGTATGTATGTATATGGTGACATTTACACATTCTTTTTCTAAATTAAAAATCACGTTATATCTATACAGTTTATATCCGAACATTTATATACACGACGATATTTATGAAAAGTTGGTTTTAAAAAAAACAATAATTATTACTATTATTATTATCACGTGGGAGCGGCAAACACGGGAGTGAAAAATGTGGAAAAAGAATGGAATTTGCTTGGCGCTCTAATACAAGTAAATTTAATATAGATAAGTCGTTGGGGAAGGAAAATCACGGTCTGGAGAAAGAGAAATGCCGCGAAGTAAATGTGAAAAATATTATCCTTATAGCGAGGAACGACGGTAAATCTACGTGATTCGAAGGACTGCGAAGGTAAATTACATTTGATCGAGGAAAATGTAAGATTGAAAAGAAAGGAAATATCGAAATAGTAATTGTAACGAAAAATGAAAATATTAAAAATTCAAATATAAGATTGTTTTCAAAGATTGAGAAATTGTTACGATACATAGATAAAGAGAAATAAAACGATTTGGTCGAGAGAGAGAAAGAGAGAGAGAGAGAGAGAGAGAGAGAGAGAGAGAGAGAGAGAGAGATGGAAGATATAAATGGAATTTAAACGTGAAAATACAGTGTAGAAAGCGTTAAAACGACCTGATCTGTCCTGCAAAACTGTTGGCGCGGTTGATTGTATTTTAATCATTCGAAGTATAAATAGCGAATCGATTCGGAAAGCTAGATATACGAATCAATTAAATGCAAATTATCGTGATATCGATGTCGCATAGTACGATTGTGGAATATTGTAGAGAATAGAGATCCAAATAGAGAGAGAGAGAGAGGGAGGGAGGGAGGGACAGAGAAGAGAAATTAAAACGCAAAATGGCTCATTTGGCTCGAGGTTTTAAACGTATCAATATTTATGAACAAATGGTTGGGCAGTTACGGGAAAGCGAATATTTGTACGGTAGAACGGATTTGCTGGATTTGTACGGGACGAAAATAATGGTAATCCTTGCATCCTGGTCCGGCTTTCCGTTAATTCGACTGTAACGTACGATCGATCCAGATCGAAATCGAAATCGAAATCAGAACCAAACCTATTGCAATCCGATCGCTCCCCTTTTCGCAAATATTTGCGCGCGATCGTACCTTCGGGTGCGAGCACTCGAATTAAACTATTAATTATTCCGCTACCGGCTAAACTTACAAGGAGGATGAATCTCAACCGATCAAAAAAAAAAAAAAAAAATTATCATTCCGGTAATAATCTTCTTTAATTATGTAATCTTGATAAATATTTTAACACGATTATTTTCATCCAAGTTTTTTTTTCTTTTTTTTTTTCTTTTACTCGAGTCG